TCACTGCCTCCTGTTGGAGTGAGTTCCACAGTGTAATTTTGCACTGTGGGAAGAAGCATTTTCTTTCAACTGCCCTGAGGACTTCAGCATTCAGCTTCATTGCATGTCCACAATTTCAAGGGTTGCAAGAGAGGAAGGAAAACTTTCCGCTGCCCACTTTCTCCACGCCACACATCATTTTATACACCTCTATTGTTTTGCCTCTTCCTCGCTTTTTCTCTAAATGGGTTCAGACACTGCAACCTTTCCTCACAAGGAAGTTACTCCACCCCCTTGATCATTCTTACTTGCCCCTTTCTAGCTGTGCAATATCTTTTCTCAGGTGAGGAGACCATAACAACACAGAATATTCCAAGTGCAGTTGCATCATAGTTTTGTATAACAGCATTAGGATATTGGCAGTTTTGTTTTCAATTCCTTTCCTTATGATCTCCAGCAAGAAAGTTGCCTCTTTTTTACAGTGGTAGCTCGGGTTAAGAACTTAATTCGTTCCGGAGGTCCGTTCTTAACCTGAAACTGTTCTTAACCTGAAGCACCACTTTAGCTAATGGGGCCTCCTGCTGCTGCCATGCCGCCGGAGCACGATTTCTGTTCTCATCCTGAAGCAAAGTTCTTAACCTGAGGTAATATTTCTGGGTCAGCGGAGTCTGTACCTGAAGCGTATGTAACCTGAAGCGTATGTAACCCGAGGTACCACTGTATATAGCTGGGTTAACGTCTTCTTTGCGCTATCCACTACAAGCTCATTTTTGGTCAGTCACCATCAATTCAGACTCCATTTGTTTTTGTCTGGATGAGCCTTCAGACACAGGATCCCCCGCTCTTCTGTGAGCCATGGTACAGTCCAGGCACAGGCTGACCAGCGAGAGAGAACTAAGCCTAAGAGGCTAGGCTGCAAACCAGGAGAGTCCTTGAGTTCTGCCAGAATTAAGATTCTAGGTCAATATGAAAAGTTGTAAACTCTGGGTTTCATTTAACATTTTATGTACGATTTAAAAATTGCATTATATTATTGTCTTGTGAACCACCCTGTAACTGGATGAAGGGCAATCCATAAATTAATCAAATAAATAAATAAATGCCCTTTATCTTGGTGGGCAGATGATCATTTTAAGGTTGATCCTCATTTTTATAATGTTCCTATCTGCTGAGTCTGTTTCTATTTATATGCTCTTGTTTTATTGTGTTCATGGGATTGCTTCATTTATAATTGTTATAAGCAATTTAGATGCATTGGGAACGGTATATGATTTTTCAACAATAAATAAAGTCAAAGACCTGGAAGGAGCAAGTTTCTGGCTTGGAGCTGTCCAAGGTCCTGTGATTTGAGCCCTACCTGGACTGACTATTCCAGAGGTGGACAGAAGGTACACCAGCTTTTGCTTGTAGATCTCTGGGTGATGTGCAACTGAACTATAGCAAGGGTTTCTGAGTCTCAGTTGCTGCTAACAAAATTGTTCTCAACAAAATGACTTTTCCCACTTAAATTAGGTAGTTGAAATTAAAAGGTGTGTGAGTAATCAGGAATAGACTGCTGTGTAAAAGGACCATGGTTTGTAGCCAACTTTTAGTTAGAGTAGACACATTAACATTAATAAATGTAAGTTAGTTACATAATAAATGTAAGTTAGCGGGCACAATGACTACAATTTTGTGAGCTCAATTTAGTTATGATACTGGAAAAAAACTTCTAGGCTCAGAATACTCTGGCTGACAGACCTCTGGTCTTCTCTTGTGGAAGCATGTGCTCTGCCACTGAGCTACGGCCTTTCTGCTATCAGACACAAATTCAAGCTGCAAGTTCTCCATCCTTAACTAAAAGCATGAAAACCACCCATTTGCCCTTTATCTTAAAGTAGACCTGCCAAATCTGAAGTCTGCCCACCTCTGGACTATTGCCAGTCTTAGCCACCTCTCATGCCCTGTCCCACCTGTAGCCAGGACAGAATAGTTCACACAGACTAGCAGAATTAGCACAGGAGGAAACTTCAGGGCGAGGGTGTTGTGGGGCTCAAGCAGGGTTTTGTGCTCAAGCCTGTTTGCTTTGGCCTGTACCACTCACAGTAATCCTCATATTGCCCAGTCAACTATGTGGACTAGCACAGGTTTGAACAGCCCCCTTGTGGCTTGTGGGAAATACTATTCTCCCACTCTCTCCTTTTCTTCTGACACTTAGGCTGTGTGCATGGTATATTTTTAAAGCACACTTTGAACACATTATTTCCCTCAAAGAATTCTGGGCACTGTGGCGTGTTAAGGATTTCTGGGAACTGTAATTCTGTGAGGGTTAAGCTTCAGCGCCCATAATTCTTTGAGGGAAAGAATACATTTCAAATGTGCTTTAAAGGTAGAGTGAGGACATCCTCCATCTGAAATTACCCTTCTAGAGACACCATCAGGGGGTGGAAGAGAATGTGGTGGAGGCAACTGGGCTAAGAGGGCAGCAAAAGCAATATAGACAGAGGCTCAAGCTTAGGAAATTCCCAGCCTTCCATTCTCAGCCATCTCAGCTTCCATTCTCAGCCATCATTTGTTACCTGTGCGCGCACACAAATGAATCCACCCAATAGAGACTCTTGACTGCATTCTCTTGTCTCCCAGTTGCAGGTGAGATTCAGCCTGCAATTTGTATAGCTATTTGAAAGCTAGTTTGAACTGGTGGGTGATTGATTCCTTCGTCAAGGGAAATGGGCACAGCGCACCCCTCTTGTCCATTCCAAAACTCTCCAGCGACCTACTTTACCCTCCCTGCCTTTGTTCTTAATTCCTAGAAATGGCTGCGCTCCAGATTTTGCCCATCAAGGCAAATTAATTGGAGTCAATCCTAATTTGCTCTCTGCTGTTCTTTGGCCAGAAGATTAAATGCTTTGCAGACATTATCCTCCTCCTCTTCCTCTCTCTCTCTCTCTCTTTGCTAAGGGACAAACCTCCCTGAATTGGGAGGGACAGGCGGGTGGGGGAAAAGGATAAAAGAAGGGAGAGTTAAAAGGAGATGATGTTTAAATTCACTCTTTGTAATTGTGAAGCGGGGGTGGGGGGAAGATGCTGCGCTGCAGCCATTGTTGAGAAGCCGGGCACCAGATGGTGAGACTATTCTGGGCAGCTGTGTGACAGCAGTGGGAACACATGGAATAGAGCTGTGGGGGCCAAGACCATTCCTATGACAGTGCCCTCTTAAGATCATGCTGGAATATTGATGATCCTTACAGAGCCTGCACTGAGAGGATAGCTTGACTGAAAGTCAGTGTTGGCTTAGAGCGGTATGGCTCTATGTGAAACATTACATCCTCTCTCACTTTAGCATACTGGGGCCACATCCATACCATACATTTAAAGCACTATTATACCACTTTAAACAGTCCTGACTTCCCCCAAAGAATCATGGGAACTGTAGTTTGTTAAGGGTGCTGAGAGCTGTTAGGAGACTTCCATTCTCACAGGGCTACAATTCCTAGTGTGGTTTAACAACCAACTCAATGAACTCTGTGAAACTGTAGTACATACATCACAGTTTTTTTTCTTTTAAACAACACCACCACAGAGGTCTTGCACAAAGAGTCCAAGATATGAGCAGGTGTTGTTACAAGGTGGAATCACTGCTTGGCCAACACCATCTTAAGCAATATTTGAATCTTTACAAATCCCTTGAGCCAAGGAGAGCCTTACTCTGTTTTGTCCTGCTAATGGTTACCAGGTAATTCATTCTCCAAGGGCTAGGACTTCCTGCAATTAGTTTCCTGCAAAGTCCCTGGATGTGTTACCTCAATGAGAAAAAAGAACCTTCTTTCTCAGGACACTGGGGAGAAAAAGGAATGGGATGTTATGGTTACACCGCCATAGGTCCCATCATCATCATCATAGTTTCTGGCATTTCAGTTTGGTAAATAACTAACTTTTTTCAAAACCAGATGTACTTCCCTCCATCATGTCATATGATTTAAGCAAGTCGTAATCCAGGAAAACCTCCAGGAAGCGGTAGTTTTCCATGTGATTCATATATCTCTTTATAGCAGGGGTAGTTCCTACTTTTGAATACTAAAGGTAAAGGGACCCCTGCCCATTAGGTCCAGTCGTGACCGACTCTGGGGTTGCGGCGCTCATCTCGCTTTATTGGCCGAGGGAGCTGGCGTACAGCTTCCGGGTCATGTGGCCAGCATGACTAAGCCGCTTCTGGCGAACCAGAGCAGCGCATGGAAATGCCGTTTACCTTCCCACCGGAGCGGTACCTATTTATCTACTTGCACTTTGATGTGCTTTCGAACTGCTAGGTTGGCAGGAGCAGGGACCAAGCAATGGGAGCTCACCCCATCACGGGGATTTGAAGCACCGACCTTCTGATCAGCAAGTCCTAGGCTCTGTGGTTTAACCCACAGTGCCACCCGCGTCCCTTACTTTTGAATAGTAGTCCCTGGTAAAATCAGATGCCTCATGTAGCCTGCCCTTATTACTGGCAGAGAACTAAGTTCTGGTGAGGGAAAGCAGTTCCATTTGTATTATGTCAGTAGTTAAAACACAGAATACTAGCAGCTTCATATGTGGTGTTACTCATGAATTCTAAAAAACATGCTCACTGGGCAACAGTCATTCGTTCCCCTTACCTTGGGATTCCCTGGAATAATAGTTTGTGACTAAGTAGTAGACTTTGAGCACTTCCAGAGTTTTGCTATTTTGGGGTGGGATTCATTCACATATTGGTAAATTCAGGTCACATAACTAAAACTGATTTGGAGCTCCTGCATAATGAATTCACTCCCATAATTTGACTTTTTGTGACAAGGAAAGTGATGGGGAAATGCCCTGGGAATCTTGGGGTAACATTTGCTTGACACAGCATCTTTTAACCTCCCTGCAAACTTTGCGCGAATAAATCAGGATGAATGCTCAATAAGCAGTTTGTCTTGAAGTGACCTGAGTCCCCATCCCAATAATAGATCTGAACAGGTTGAGGGAACTGATTTTCCAAATGAGAGTTTTCAAAAACTGAAAACACTATTTGTTTGACATAAAGTTTTTTATAACTAACCATTTAATAAATGCAGACAACAAAATTTTTCAAAAGAATGGTGTTTGCAGACAGGATTATTTTTCTACTGATGTCACACAATAGACAATTTTTTCCACAAGAAAACAAGTGGTTTTGTTAAGAGAAGTATCCAAAGAATCGGGGAGTACAGATGAGAGAAGCTTGCTTTTGAGTCAAGTAGAGGCTTAATCCAGGAGTGGGGCCAACTCTTGCCTCCACATCACACAACATGATGTCAGTGTCTGTTTACAATTTCCAAAGGACAAACAGGATGGTATTTCTGCAAAAGAATTAATGAATACTAATTGGGTCTTAGAAATGACAATTCATAGAAACCAGAGTGAACATTCCTGTCTCTGAGGTGGTCTTTTTCTGAATTTAAAGACTTTATACTAAACACACACAAAAACCCTGAATGTTTTCAAGGCTAGTAGAGCTGCTGACCTGGAGTTCGTTGATTGATTTGACACAATTTATTTTGACCTGTATTGTGATTTTTAGGTTGGTTCAGTTGGCACAAACAGTGAGCAGCTCTCACATATGACAACAGACAAATTGAGCACAAACTTCCTAGGTAGTCCGGACCCATCTCCATCTTTGGGCTTATTGAATGCATGTGACTCAGTCTCATTTACTGCAATTAATTTGATAAATGTAGTGCAGCCGGCTCCAGTTTTGCGGGTCAGTCAGGTGCTCTCAGCAGGCCTCAACCTTAGCACTCCTATTCTGCAATGCACATCTGCAAACTTGTTTGCTTTTCTCTTCTGGAACCAATCCATGCAACCATTCAGATAAAGAGAGAGAGAGAGAGAGAGAGAATAAAGCAGGCAGAGGATGTTGCTGTATCACCTCACTCTTCTGATTGTTTGCATGCTAGACATGACAAGTGAACACAGGCATTGACAGCAGTGAGGATGAGGAGCAAGACCAGCAGTCTCCAGGGAATGGCAGTGGGCCCTTTGCAGGGGTATTGGCCACAAGAGGTGCCGAACAATTTTTGTAAATAGCCCTGTGATCTTCAGATGAAGGACAGTATAATAATTTAATTAATAAAATAATCTGTAAATAATACTGCTGCCGCCAGCCCTGACTGGCACTTTCAAGCATCTGTTGAAGTAGGCGCTTGCCTCCAAGGCCCAGCTGCTGCACATGGTTTCTCTCTCTTTGCCTTTGAACAATGAAGAATCCTGCATTCCTTGAAAGGAGAGAGGACATGCTACCCTTGTAGGATATCATGTGTCAGAAGGGAAATAAACAGATATTATTATTGCAAAAGGCAAATGCAGTTGGAGCAAACTTTATTGCTTGTGCATCCAAGCTTTCAGTTAACCTCATCTCTGATTTAAATATTGTCCCATGCCATTCCACTTTCAGCTTTGTTAAATTGGAAGAGAATGTGTTAATCCAGACATAAAGCCACAATCCTCTTATACTAAAGTAGCCCCATTAAAATAAACTGTACCAATTTTGAGCAATAAGAGGATAGTAACTCTGGGAACAAACTTCAGTGAGTTAATAGTCCTAGAACTGGCCACTCAAGAAGCAGTCTAGTATGTTTCTTTCTTATCCGATCTCATGTATTTATTAGTTGTCACAGAAGTCTCCATGGTGAACCCTGACTTCTTTGCCATGCTAGGATCTGGATTACGGCGATGGATTCTATTTATTATTTATTGTTCTTTCTAATAGCAAACTCAGGTGGCAAGTGCTGACAGAGATTGAGCTAAAACAAGGGCATTAGAAAATAAGATGGAGTGGTATGAGCATCCTCAGGGGAATCCGAAGTACAAAACATTAAAGGGGAACCCACAAAAACCAGCTGAGTGAGGATCGTACCAAAGAATGTTGAGTGTTAATGGAAGGAGGAAACCAGAAAACTGGGGGTTATGGGAAATTGATTACTCTGCTTGAACTCTTTATGCTCTCATACAGGAGGGCATAGCTTGCTGACAGAAACGCTAGAAAAGAAGAGCAATACTGCCAAAAGGTGAGATTACACTGTAACACCAAAATCCATATTAGGGAAATAATTTTATCATCAAATAGAATCATAGAATTGTAGTGTTGGAAGGGACCAAGAGGGTCATCTAGTACAACTGGCTGTTTTCAACTCTTTGTCAGGCTAGATGGTAAATAAGAAATTTAGATGCGTGTGCAACTAAATTTACAAGCTAAGGCAAAAATGCAGCAGTAGGCAACACATGAAAAAATCCCTAAAGAGCCCGCTTAAATAAAACCAACTGCTGCATCCCATGTTGAGTTGTCAGGGAGCTTTCTGTCATTTTTCTGCACAATCCTATACACATCTATTCAGATATACAGCTTCGGTCAATAGGATCTACACTCAGGTAAACCTGTATAGGATCGCAGCCTTTAAGCTGTACTTATTTTGATGAGTGTGGATATGCTTTATTTAGTATTTTTTAGGCAGAGGCGGTTGGTTTTGGGTGGCATGGAAGGGCAGTAAATAGTTATTGGATTTATTATTACTGTATTTTTAGTGCCAGGGAAGGGCAGAATAAGTGCTTAGAATTTCTGCTATAGGTGCCTTGATTTGGTGGGGGTGGGGAGCAAATTGTCTCGATTCGGCTGTGTTTTTGTTCTCTTACTGCTATTCATTATTCCTTATTGCTCGGACCTCCAGATGTGGCAAGGGACGTCTCAGCTGCTGGTCTTTTTTGCTGGTTGGTAATTCTAACACACCCAGCTTGGAAAAAATGCAAGTATTTCCAAAAAGTCACGGAATATGGAGGGGTTTTGGGTCGTTCTTATAATTTACGTGCCCTGCGTTTGCTGTAAGCCTCGAATATAAAACTCAAAGAACTTAAACGGTGATGGTTTTTGGTTTTTTTTAACTGTCACGGTTTGGTGAGACGAGATTTTAAAAACGCATTAAGCAAACAAACGCATATTAAAAGAGGCGCATGTGTGCAATGTATTCGTATGAAGGCAAGCAAAAACAGAGAAGAAAACAACCGTGAGGGGAGAGAGACCAGTCGCCGCCTCCTGTTCTCAAAGGCAGCCCGCACGGGCCTGTAAAGGGCTCCAGCTCCGCTCTTGGCACCCGCTTCCTTCCTTCCTGGCCTCGCCTCGGTTTCTATGACAACCACGGCCACCTCTTTCCCCCGCTCCCGCCCCTCTGCGTTAAGCGCGGCCCACGACTCGCCTCCGCCAATCACAGCCGGGGAAAGCGGCCGCGCGCCATGTGTGTTGTTATCCCGAGCGCTCACTGATGACGCAATGACGCGAGCGCCAGGCCATAACCCCCCATTTGGGCTTGGGCTGGACCCGGCGCCCACCCCGCCGCGGGCTGAGGTGAGTCGGTGTGGGGCGACTTGGCCGCAGAAGGCACTGAGCTCGACATGGTCTTCTTGCTATTCGGCGTGGTCTTGGCGGGGCCTTGACTCGGGGGGGGGGGATGTCTTGGGCGCACCAGACCATAGAGGGGCCTGCATTTCTCCCTTGCTCGTGCTGTATCCGAGGCCTGCTTTGCAGGTCCGTCCCCCCCCCGCCCCGGCCTGGCGTGGAGCTTGAGGGCTTTCGCAGTTTCAAAGCTCTAGTAGGGCAGCGCCTGTCCTTAGAATTCGAGTAAGCAAAGAAGGAAGATGCTTTGGTGCCGACTGTGCTTAGTCCCGTTAAGTTGGTGTCACCATAAGGTCAAGGAAAGGGAATTGTTTATCTCTTAAATAAAGGAAGCTGCGTTGTGCCAGGTAAGGCCATTTGTCCGTTTAGTCCAGCATTGGCTACTCCAGCATTTCCCAACCTAGTGTCCTCTTAACTGTTTTGAGCTCCCAGTTCATCACCTACAACCAGCTTAGTCAATGGTCAGAGATGATGGGAGTTGCCCTACAGCATGCGTAAGCACACATGTTCTCCATTGCTTGTAGCAGTTGTTCTTCAGGATGTGAGGCATAGGTCTTTCAAATCACCTGCTCCCTGATCCTTTTACCTGAAGATTTCAAGTACTCTGTCTTGGATCACCTTCCTGCAAAGCATGTGCTGGAGTTTTGGTTCCTCTCTGATTGGTCTGCCATTAAGTAATTTGGGAGTATTATTCACTTCTATAGCTTGATGCTGGTAGAATTTAGCTCTGGTTGACTGTTACCTGAAAACTCTTGAGTGCAGTGAGAGAGAATGAATGGGAGTAAATATGGCTTGCTACTGTTTCTTAACATATCTGGCCCTCACAGGAAATCAAGTGAGCTTCCATACATGCATCGTATACAGAATTGCTGCCCTGTTTATGCTTGTAGAAAAAAAGGTGGAGGAGGATTAAGTATAGGCTTCAGTGTTGTGTGGGTGCACATCGGTTTTCTTCAACATGCAAGAGGAAGAATAGGTTGTCAATGTATAAAACAGAAAAACAAGGGTGAAAAACAGCTTGTTACTTGTGACTGAAGTTTTCTTCCTACATGATCACTCCTTGTCTAATCTTGTCTTGAAAGCTTTAAAAATATGTGCCGTGGAATAAAACTTGTTAAGACTGTTTACAGAGAACAAGGGTTTTAATGGGCACTTCATTTTCTTGTGTTCTCATAGCAGCTTGAAACATGCTAAAATTTCATGGTACACATGGTCAACACCTGACTCCTGTGGTACTCTTGTAAACTGCCCTTTCAAAAATAGTGTCTCTCAGAGGAGCAGGGCAGTGGCCATCTCTTAGACTGTCCTGTGGCAAGCAAGATTTGGGAGGTGCATGTGCTGAATAAATATGAAGGGTGTTATCTGCATGTTTACAGTATAGTAAAGTTGCACTGTTAAAGTAATTGTACACCTGATCTTTAAACCTTAAAATTATGCATTATTGGCTTTTGTAATAAGTGCTGACGCACAAGAATTACCTGCACTTGAAGAAGTAAGAGAGGCTTGGACAAAGCATGGTTTCCATGGAATTTGAGTGAAATTGATCCAGGGTCTGTGAGTGACGTTATACAGTTTTAAAACCACAGGACCTCTTTACAGAAAGAACCACTGCTTCAATCAGCTTACTAGGGAGACAACCTTTTTGCTTATATACCCACTAGTTTTCTCCTTGAAGTCAGTAGAATATCAGAAGCCTATTCCACAATAGCTTAAAGCTGGGCTTTCAGCATGGATGCTCCTCTTCTGTGGAACAGCATTCCTGTTGAGATATGAAAAGTGCCTATTATTTCATTTTTCCGTGATCGACTGCAGACCATTTTGTTTTGACAGGCATTTCCAACTGGGTGAAAAGGTATCTGCCTTAGTTTTGGTAACACTACAGAATAAACACCTATAGTTTTCATCATTTGTACTATTTTAAAAGCTATTTTAAGTAGGGTGTTGTTGTTTTTGTAAATTACCTTGGGATACATATGGAAGGCGATTAGTAAATTAACAAAATAAGTGTAGTATTGCTAGTTGCCCCCACCCCAAGATGGTGACTGCCCCTTTCAAAGCTCTGATTTACTAAGAGGATGCAGTTGTTACTCTACCAGTCTGTTACCTACCTTCATTCCTGCCTGCAGTAGCAAGGTTGACTTTAGATATGAGAGATGGTGGCTAATGGTGCAGCTACTGCAATATCTCTCAATGCCTTGATAGTTTTAATAGGAGAGGCATCAACTCCAGATGAAGACCAGGCTATTCTGTTTGCATTCCAATCACTTCCTTATAACGGCCTTCTAGGCGAATATTGAGAAATATTTTACTTCCTTGGTAGGTTCTGGGACAATATCTGATTGCACTGACGAGCATTGTTTCCCCCCGCTTCCACCCTTGAGATTTGTGTAGGATTGGAAGGAAGTACATCTGAACTCTTCTGAAAGTACAGTTCTCAAAACATTTTCTTGTTGAAATTCTATTGCAGTCTGTGAAGGGTTTGCACAATAAATCTTTTTTTATAATATCATAGATTTTTTAAAAAGACATTTGAAGGAGGAATAAAAATTAAATATGATGACAGGTACCTTTAAGATGAAAACAGGAAAACTTGAGGTGCTAACTTTTCTCACCGCATTCATAAGGAAGAAAAGTGTGTGTGTGTGTGTTTGTATGTGTATGTACACCAGCCTTTCCCAAGCTGGTGGCCACCTGATAATTTGGATTGCAACTCCTGTCCTCCCAGACCATTGTCCACATTGACTGGAGTTGTTGGAGCTGGAGTCCAAAATGTCTGGAGGGCATTAAATTAGGGAAGGTTAGTTGCTTTGACTTTGCAGTGTGAAGAAAATGTGCTCATCATTTTTTAAAGATTATTTTGAAAGGCATGCTTCTAACACACTGAGTAATGCCACACTTCAGATAATTTTCCTGATACTTTTGAATGCCAATTGTGCATGATTGATGTTTGTTACAGGTGCTTTAAATTGACAAAGACATGTTGTAAGCCATCAGCAGAGGGTGGAATGTCCTCTACTCTGCATTTGGCTTCCCCTTCTACTTCTTGAGCCTTAAGATCATTCCCGTCCTGTGAATGGAGGTTTAGGTTTAGCTTTAAAGAGATTTTTAGGATTAAATGTTAACCTTTGAACACTGACTTCCTTAAGCTTTTTGTTTTTTCAAAAGTGGAATGCTGCATTTCTTTCTGACATGCCTTTAAAATTCTGTTGTTTAGCTGCTCTTAGTAGATGGGATTCTCTTACGGTTGCTCAGGTTTCATGTACGTTTGAGGAGAGGTAAAATATACAATGGCAAAAGATGTTTGAGAAGATCCAGCAGCTTTCTAGTACTTTCCATTGAGTAGCTTAAGTTTAGACATCTTTTCCTCTCTCATGGACCAGAATGGGAAAACTCAGACTGAGAAAGTGACATAATGTAGGCAACTTACCAAACTCCTGTCCAGCATTTTTTTTTAAAAAAAATAATAATCTTCAAACACTGTAAAATCAAGCAACCTTCTGTGGTGTGTTGGGATATAGGGGTGCTTTTCTCTTTTGATAAAATGAATGGAAGGTCCTCATTTTCCAAAAAGCGAGCCAATTCAAAGATCTGTCTGAAAAATGATGAGACTGGTAAAATGTAATTCTGGCACCTAAGAATTTATTATTCTATTTGAAACATTTGATGCTTAATTCCTAGGAATCTGAAATATTTTAAAACCCTGATAAGGAAGGTTATTTGGCAATTTAATATTAGCCCAGCAGCAGAAAATGCTAAAGCTTGTAATGGAATTTTGTACCTGTGTAATCTGTATGATAATGTTGATAGTATTGTTTGAGAGTCAAGAGTTTCAGCATTCAGCATCTGCAACCCTAGCTCCCGCTTCTAGAAGGAACAATAGAGAAAAGAAGGTGCCAAACCAAACTGTAGGTCAGTATGCTGATCAGCCAAACAAATAGACAAATACTGAGTTCACTTGGAAATCTCTTGACTTCTGTGAAATTTACTTTTAGTAACTATGCTAAGCTAGAAGCCTTAATGCCTTCTAGTTATACAGCTGCTAGACTCCATTGCATTCCCATATTCTTTTTGCAGAAAACATTCGCTGTTCCAGCATCAATTTCCTGTCTTCAGCTTCATAGGTAACCTATAATTTGGGTGCAGATGCTCATGAAATGTGAGCACTTCATACCTGTGAAGTGATTTTGGTGACTTTCTCCCTTTCTCACAATATCTCTGCACACTTTTGGATGCAATTAATTAACTTACAGGTTTTCCTCTACTGGAGATTGTATTAAGGAAGCTCTAGCCAACTGGTTTTGGGAGGGCTTGGGTTGATATATTGAAACAGTTTGAACTGTATATGTACTAAAAGTTATCTTGAGATGCTCAGAATTGTTGGATCATTTTATTTTTAACTTGATGGAGTTAGCACAGAACTAAGAATGTCCGAGTCTTGGCTTATCAGTGGAAGTACTGATGTTGTGGCATTTCTTCCTTTGGTTTCATGACAGAGCTGTGGTTTAAAGCACACTTACACTCCCCCTTCCTAATTATATTTTCTGGGAAGCCAAGTCTCCTGAGTCATAGTAGAGATAATTTCCAAGTGATTGAATAAGCAGGAGAAAGAATTGAGGTTATTAATATGGTTCAACTCAGACATCACACAGAGGTATGGTTTGTGTCAGTCTTCCTCCAAGCTGTTGTCTTCCAGATGTTTTGGACTACAATTCCCATCAACTCCAGGGATGGTGGAAGTTGTATTCTAATGGGTGCCAGGCTGTGCAAACCATGGTTTGCAAATCTACTTCAAACTGTAGTTATTGATTCTGATTTGTTGGTGATCACAAACTGTGGTTTAAGAATTCAAATATTGCACTGAAACCTGAATTAAGCTTATGTGCAGAAAGCAAGGGGGCATTTATTGAATAAATATAGTATGCTCATCTCTCTCTCTCTCTCTCTCTTTCCGCTCCAGCTTCCTGGGATGTCGTGGAGATTGGAATTGTTCCAGACATGCTTGCTCTGGTGTTGCTCTGGGAGAACACCTTGATGGATGATTAGTACCATTCAGTGATGGGCTGTGGGACTAGCAAAGTACTTCCTGAGCCTCCCAAGGATGTTCATTTGGATCTTGTTAAAAAGGTGGAGCCATATACTGGTTATAAAACTGACATATATAAGCACTTCATCAAGGGTGATGGAGATGCCATCAAATCTGCTATCCCTTCTCCTCCTCGTCACACTAACCCACATGTGGAACAGGCAGAGCCTCGCAAGAACAGAGTGGCAAAGTACCGTGCAAAATTTGATCCCAGAGTGACAGCCAAGTATGATATCAAAGCCCTGATTGGCCGAGGCAGCTTTAGTCGTGTAGTACGGGTGGAGCACAAGGCTACCAAGCAGCCGTATGCAATCAAGTTAATAGAGACTAAGTACCGTGAAGGAAGGGAAGTGTGTGAGTCAGAGCTGTGTGTGTTGCGTCGTGTTCGGCACACCAATATCATCCAGCTCATTGAAGTGTTTGAGACTCAGGAGCGTGTCTACATGGTGATGGAATTGGCCACTGGAGGGGAGTTGTTTGACCGAATCATTGCCAAAGGTTCCTTCACGGAAAGGGATGCTACCCGAGTGCTGCAAATGGTGTTGGATGGAGTTAAATACTTACATACATTGGGCATAACTCACAGGGACTTAAAGCCAGAGAACTTGCTCTATTACCACCCAGGCATGGATTCTAAAATAATGATCACAGACTTTGGGCTGGCGAGTGCTCGAAAGAAGGGAGACGACTGCTTAATGAAGACTACCTGTGGGACACCAGAGTATATTGCCCCAGAGATCTTGGTCAGAAAGCCCTACACAAACTCAGTAGACATGTGGGCACTGGGTGTGATCTCATACATCCTACTAAGTGGGACGATGCCTTTTGAAGATGACAACCGCACCCGCTTGTATCGGCAAATTCTGAAAGGAAAGTACAGTTACTCAGGGGAGGTGAGTGTGTCAAGGTTCCAGCAAGGGAGTGCCTGTTGTGCCAGTGTATTCCGTGATGGTCTGAAATCTCTGGTCTCTACAGGAAACACCCTCATCCTTAAATCTTGAAGCCTACTGCAACCCTGGTCCTTTAAAAGCTACTGCTTTCAGAATATATAGTGTATGTTTTTTTGTTTCAGAAATTAGGCCCCCTTTTGCACAAAATGTCTTACAAGAAACAACAACAATGAGGTTGTCTGGGTGAAAGCAAAAGTAACAAGTGATTTCCAAGCAGTGGGAATCTCTGCCCCTGCTAATGGGAGGTGGTAAGGCCAGGCTTTTTCAGAAATGGAATTGAGAATCATTTATCCATTTTTTGGAGATGTATTGCATTTCCTCTAAAGAAAAAAAAAACCCTCTCAAAATGGTTTGCAAAGAAGAAAAATGTAAAAGAAGTATTAAACTAATACAAAAATTCTTATTTTTCTTACATAAATTAACATTATTTAACATTTTAGCATTGGAATGGTTGGCTTTTAAGCAGTTTGGGAGGCCTCACTCCTCTGGAAGATAGAATAATGCATGGGAGCTCTGCCAAGTCTTTACAACAGCTTCAGATGGGATGAGTTGAAAAGCCATTCCCCTCTAGGAGTCTGCCTGTCCTCAGGAAAGATGGAGCTAAATCTAACTTCTGAGTCTTGTCTGGTGCTGTTCAAAAGACCAATGAACCCTCCAGAAGTTGTTGGACACCAGCTTCCATCAGCTCTGGCTAGCATGGCCAATGTCCAGGGCGAATGGGAGCTGTTGTTTAGTAATATTTGGAGAGGCACACATTCTCTGGAGAGGCTTTAGAGGCTATTTCTAGGGGGTGCTGGCATGTATCAATTAAATCTGTCATTGTACTGCTTTGGTCTGCTTCATTGTGTGTCTTATGGTTATAGAAAGAAGAATATATGAATGTGGAGATAAGTTCTATACTTCCTTCAATAAGTTACACTCAGAAATAGAAATAATTCAACTATTGCCCCTAGTGGCATCTCAGCAAGAACTGAGCCAAATGTTTTATATGTGTAAGAGAGCAATTTTTCAGTCGGGGGTTGAGAAGTGACAGTAAAATAACTGACTGAAAAACAAACGAGGTACTTGCTAGTTCTCAGGCTGTGATGACATTTCAGTAATGGATGAAGAGTCCTTTTTATATTATTTGGGGTGTAATGTTCTAGATGCTAAATCAGGATATAAGTTGCTTTTGAAAACATTGAGGCAATTTTCATGGCTGTGCAGGTTTTGATAAGTCTTCCAAATAATGTGCAGTTGGTCACTCTTTGATTTGACTTGTAGCTTCTGTATGTTTGTGGCTGGGTTGTGTCAGGAAGTCAGATTTCACAAGCAAGTAGGTAACCTACAGTAAGTAGGCACCCCATTTATATTCTGTAGAGTAGTAGTAGTAGTAGTAGTAGTTGTTGTTGGTTATTTTGCCATGCCTGTTTTGCTTCCTGTAGACCACAGCCAGATGATCCAACTAGTTTCGCTATTTGTGAATTGTGAATGAATCTGACAGCTGCTATGTCCTGGCACTGATTTAAGCAACATGTTTCACAGTGTTTAGGAATGAGTGATAATCAATGGAGAAGTAGGTCAAAGAGCTGATAGCGGGTGGTAGGCTCCCAAGCTCCCACAACCCCCCCCCCCCAATAATGGGTGTCTTGAAGAAACCATGCTTCTGCTAACCTGATAAATCTTGGAGAATCAGTTTTCTTCTTCTTATCTTTTCTGGTGTAATGGGAAGAAATCAGCCATAAGCTTGTTTTATCACTGGCCTTCCAAAAACAAATTAAGAGAACTTTTATTACACAGAAATCCTTTAAAACTGCACTGGATGCAGCTGTGGCAAACTGAGTGTAAGACTGAGAATGCGGGAGAAAAAGGCTGCTACAGAAAGGCCCCTACCCCCCCTTTTAGCTTTAACTCTGTGAAATGAAACACTTTTATCTGACAGTGGCACTCCCAAGAGGCATGTCTGTGGAGATCCGATCATAGAGTTATAGATTCGCCTGCAGTGACCCTCTGGGCTAAAGCATAAGAAATGTGCTTTTGAACCAGGGAGGAGAGTGTCTGCTAACATAGGCTCTCATAGAATTTCACAGGCAGAGAACTTGCATCATAGAAGAATCCAAAAAAGGTTAGATGTTTTTCCTTCTCTTCCTATCCCCAAAAGAAAAGGTGTACTTTCCAAGACAAGGCTTGCCTCAAATGCTGAACTGAGATTGTGGAGTCCTATTGAGAGAGAGAGATGTGAAAGCTGATATTCAGGCTGACTTGTGAAGTATTTCTATTTTCTTGATGAGAAATGAAGAGAGCTTACAATTTGGGTTCCTTTCCTGAAGCAGTGTCTGTTTTCAAGAGGCTAGTAGGCAATTGATGGGAAAGCTATACCTTAATAGCTCATTTAGGTCCTGCTGACCTCAACTACTCTAATTATCATTCTCTGGCTCCTGATGGTATAGAGTTGATGGCAAAGGCATGGTGTTTAAGGCAGTCTGGGGATAAGTGACTTGGCAAGCCCTTTTGATGATGTTAGCTCCCTGGGTAAGGGTTACAATGCTTATCGAAGCTGGATCAGTACAGCCTATCCATCAGGAACTAATTGTGTTCTCCCCTGCCACCCTGCTCCCTGCTGCTCTTTCTTTGCTTTATCAGGGCTTTGCTAAATAAGCTGAAGGGGCTAGTTTTACTGTCAAAAATCCTACAGGTAACATAGCAGAAAACTTATTCTACTGTTCTAGTGTTTCCATTAGAGAGGAGAGTTCACATGCTTTTCAGAAATGTATCCTGTCACTCTTTTGCATTTCTGATTTGATGCTAACAAACTAGAAGGCTTCCAACTACTTAAAAGTTGGAATTCAAGGGAGAAGTAGCTATTTGCAACTTGGCATAATATGTGGAGTACAGGTACTGGAGGCTGTTGGCCTGTGGGGAAACTTAGTGCTTGGGAGCTGGTGTAGTGTAGAGGCTGATGTATAAATCAGGAAGTCCCAGCTTCAAATGTCACCTCTACCTTGAACTCATTAAGCTGCTTTAGGCAAGTTACTTTCTCACGGCCCTGATTCTTCCATCTGCAGTATGGGGGATAAAAACGCAGACTTAGGATTGTTGTAAAAATTCCTGGAAAATATACATGGAACCAAGGACCTTATACCAAGTCAGGTGGTTGTTTTACTCAGTATTGTTCACAATGATTGGCAGGCAGTCTCAGGCAGGATTTGTTCCCAGCTCGACCTGGAGATGCTGGGTATTGAACCTGGGACCCTTCTGCATGCAAAACAAATGATCTACCTCTGAGTTATGCCTACTTCTTCTTGAAAGCACTTTGCCAATGTTAAAGTACTAAGACTTGTAACAAAATGTTGCAGTGTATCATCACCTTTGTAGAGGAGTGCTCCTCTTCAAGGTTCCAATCAGCCATGTCTTCCACCTTGATTTTCCATCTTTTTGGGCGGGAGGTTATATCCGCAGAATCTTTGCTGCTGTTAGTGCCCCTGCTGAGTCAAGATCAAGATGTCCTTTGGTCACAACAGTGGCAATGCTCAGGCCAGAGTCTGTTTCTGTTTCTAGTTGAATGCTACCATGTCATGCATCACCACAGTTCCCCATTCCACTGCCATCCTGTTCCCCAAGCTCAGGTCACTATTCATATCATCTGGAATGATTCCCTCTCTTTCTACCGTTTGTCTTGAAACAGACAGTGTAGTGCTGTAGAGAGTTACAGTCCTGGCAAGCTCTGAGTAATATTTGCAATAGTGCATGGAGCCTACGTTTGACAGAGTGGCAGGCAAACAGTTAGTTGTTTTACTATTATGTTCGCCCATAATGGAAGCCACTAGCTGCATGTCATAAGAAGAGGAAAGAGTCCTGTTGGATAAGGCCAAAGGCTTATTTAGTCTAGCATCCTATTATCCCAGAAGCAGGATATGAGTGCAGCATCACTCTCCCTACTTGTGACCTAGCAAGCTGTATTTAGAGCCTTCAGCAATGAAGACAGAACATACCTATCATGGCCAATAGTCACTTATTTATCTAATCTTGTTTTAAAGCCATGAAAGTTGATGGCCACCAATACATAATTGTGGGAGTGAATTCCATAGTTGAACTATGCCCAGTGTGAAGAAGTACATTGCTTTTCCTGTGCTGAATCATACAACATTCAGCTTCCATTATGAGAGAGGGAAAAAAAGTTATCTCTATCCAATTTCTCCAACTATGCTGCCATGCATCTTAAATGCTGTCAGTCTGGCCTCAGTGGCTCAGCCTTTCAGCAGCCCCTCCTAGAAGGCATCATAAGAGTTGACTGGTACTCCGGCAAATAATTTTTGCATAGAACAACTTGGAAGTTCGTTGAAATAAATTGCATCATTTTTGTATCTTCATTTCTACTTGCCCCCATGTTCTTTGGTGCCTTTCGCTTGAACTGCTGCATTCTCAAATTCTTCCGTATATTGTTTGTGTTTCCTGGCTGCTCTGTCTCTGTGCTTGTTGTCTTAGATCCAGAACATTGTAGTGGTTAGAGTGTCAGGCTAGGAGTGGGGAGAATGGAGTTGAAATTCTCACTGAGCCATGAAGCTCACTGAGTGCCCTTGAGCCAGTCAGTTACTACCGCATTTTTTGCTCTATAAGACTCACTTTTTCCCTCCTAAAAAGTAAGGGGAAATGTGTGTGCGTCTTATGGAGCGAATGCAGGCTGCACAGCTATCACAGAAGCCAGAACAGCAAGAGAATCATAGCACTGTAGAGCTGGAAGGGATTGCTGCTTTCACTGCGCAGCGATCCCTCTTGCTGTTCTGGCTTCTGAGATTCAGAATATTTTTTTTCTTGTTTTCCTCCTCCAAAAACTAGGTGCGTCTTGTGGTCTGGTGCGTCTTATAGAGCGAAAAATACGGTATTTCTTTTGAACCTAGCTGACATCTGAAGAGCATTACAAAGATTATTATTAAATTTTTATACTGCCCTTCATCTGAATATCACAGGGCAGTTTACATTATAAAAACACAAAAACACATACCATAAAAAGAAAATAAAACAATGCCTGCCATCGATGGTTTAAAAGACCCTAGATTGTTTAGGAGAAGAGGGATGTTTTTGCCTGACACCTAAAGATAGTAACAAAGGTGCCAGGCAAGGCTCCCTGGAGAGAGCATTCCACAAGAGGGGAGATAAAGGGTCGGGGAGAAAACCAGTGTGGTGCAGTGATTAAAAGTGTTGGACTATGACAGTGCAGTTCACTGAGTAAATGTGGGCCAGTCGGTCTGTCAGCCTAACCTACTCACAGGGGAAGGGGAGAACCATACATGCCATGCTGAGCAACATGGAGGAAGGCAGGATAAAAATTTAACAAATCCTCTTTGCCTTGGCTTTTGCTTCAAGATCTACTTTTACTTACTAAAGAAGCCCAGTGGAATCTGCGGGGAATGTTTTAGAGGACATGTCTAGAGTTACTGGAAGCAAAGTAAGAATCCTGAAAACATACTTTGTAAACTTTCCTGATCATAATTTTAAAAGTGTAGGCTGCATTATCTGTCTTGAAAGAGTGGCTGAAATCTATTGTCATGGATATTTGTTGACTCGCTTGAGTAAATGGTCCACCAACGTCACACCCCCCCTTCCTTTTGCTTTGTGACTCACACCAGCTTTTATTCTCTGATGAATACCACCTTCAGATGGGATGAGGCTTAAACACCTTGACGCACAATGCACTTTGAAGGGTCGTGTTGCATATTTAGCCTGGAACACGATGTGGTGCATAACAGTTTCTGGTTGACATTAGCTTGGGTTAGTGTGAAATGGAGGCATACAGAATTATAAAAGGGAAAGGGAAAGGAACATAAATATTCAAAGACTGCCTTTGTATTTAAGCTCCTCCTAACACCATAGCATCTGCCTTCTTCCCATTTGACACTCAAGCTTAGCTTTTTGCTATGACTTCACCAAGTCAGCTTCACGGGACACAGTCCAAATAAAATTGGGATATCATAAATATGTGTGATTTTTCCTCCACTCCTCAATGCAAAAACATGTTTACTCATGGGAATTGGTATCCCAAACATGTAAGGGCTGTGTGCCATGTGGGGATGCAGGTGGAGCAGTGCAAATAAAGGGACAGTTTTTGCTGATGCCAGTGGGAGAGCATCTGCTTTGCATGCAGAAGGCCTCAGTTTCAGTTTCTAGTATCTCCATGTAGGACTGGGAGAAACCCCTTTCTGAAGCCCTGGAGATCTGGTCCACACATGCAATATTGAGCTGGATGGACCAATGGTATATCAGTGTATGGCAGCTTCCTGTGTTCTTGTGCACAGCCCTAAAAGAAAACTAAACATTTCCAAGTCTCATCTAAAAGCAAGCAGGAATTCAGTGCATGTGCATTGATCTCAATGGAAATTTGGCTTGCCTTTACTAGCAGGGATGTGTGTTTATGATGTTACGGTATTATTATTATTACCACTATTATTTATTTTTTTATTTATTTATACCCTGTTTTTCCCCTGACAGGGATTCAAGGCAGCTTACAGATAAAATATCGTGCAGTCAGATATTTTGGTGCTAAAAATATTTATACTTTAAACATCAACTTTAGGCAGGCAGTTTGCCACTTTAACTGTTGTACCCACTTGTCAATCCATAACTCCCTGGATGGCTTACTACAACATATTCATAGCATATAACAAGAAAATATAGCCATAATAATAAAGTGCTGCAATCCTGTATTGACTTACCTGGCAATAAGCTCCACTGAACTCCACTGCGTTTTCTTTTGAGTAGGATTGAACTATCAATGCCAGTAAGAGCCCAGAAAATTGAAAGTGATTTTTCTTTGACCCCCTCCATCACATTTGGCACTGTTACAAAAACGGTCCTGACTTTGGTAGACTTCCACCACACTTTGATAGTAGGGGCATTCAAGAGGTGGCTGATTGTAACAGCGAGGGAGCAGGAGGTCTTTTGGTTAATGCTTTTTCTCCATACATCCCTATGAATGACTGCACAGTTCTTCTGAGGATTTGACTTTCCTGCAATAGTTACAGAAGAATGTTCCCAGCAGGAAACTAACCCAACTGAGACTGTAAGGTTGTTTCTTTCTTTCCATTGACTGATATACAGTATTTGATTTTCTTTTTGAAATTTGAAAGGTCTGAATGCCTGTTTCAAAGGATTATTCATTCCAACTCCCTCCTTACCTGTAGAAAGGGTGCTCGGAAGGTAAAATTCAATCTGATGTTTTCCATGTTTGGCCACACTGGCTGCTTCAAACATAACATGATGAATGAAATACATTCAAAGACAGCACAAATTAGAGGGCCCTTTGAAAGAGGTGTTTCACTTTCCTTGGTCCACTTTGTGCTTTTTTGGCTGGATGTGAAGATTTGGCTGTCTCCTTGGATGGTGCTTTGGAAGCAACTTTTGGATTTTTAAGATTGTCTTCCTAGTGGTCTTATTAGAACCACTCCCACCCCCACCATGTGTGAGATGCATGAAATGTTGCACATATTTCCCACAGAGGCCTAAAATTGTGCCTATGTACAAGAATGAACAAACAAATCAATGAAAATTCTGACAGGAATAAATAGAGGCTAGAAAATTCAGCTTTTACTGAGAAGAGGAACTGTTTTTAAGTGCACCTGAGAGTTCTGTCTCCTGGAAGAGAAGAGAAATCCATTTACAGAGGAATGTGCTCTTGCGTCCCAGATGAAGAGAGCATTGAGCGAGTACGGGTGAAGGCTGCATGTGACCTGAGGGGCCTCTACTTAAGAGACAGAGTGTTCTGGTCTCTCTCTCTCTCCCCCCTTTCTTTCTTTCATTTTTTTTTTCTTTCAAGACGGAGGAACATTGAAAAGAGCCTGAAATAGGCTGTCTCCATGCCTGAGGTGGAACGTTGAGGTCAGCCTGACAAATGCACACTCTATGATGAGGCTCAGAAGCCTTTTTTGCTCTGCCTCTTTTTCTTATCTCCTACACCTGACCTTAATGCAACTGTTCATCTCAGGCAGAGGTAGCCAATGTGGTGCCCGTCAGTTGCTGTTGGGTTACAACTGCCGTTATCCCTGACCATTGGCCATGCTGGCTGGGGCTGATGGGAGTTGGGGATCCAGCAACATCTGAAGGGCATCATATTGTCTATCTGCAGTGCTGATGTAGTTGACGTGGTTTTGTGCTGAGCTGTGTGGCTAACTAACTGGAACCGTGGTAGAAACTTTTGCAGAATTAGGAACTCATGTAGCAATGCCAACATCCTGCTTGGTTACCTAGGGTGAATGCAAATCTGCTCGAAGTAACCAGATATCCTGTAGTAAAGATGTTTCTTTGGGGAAGGGGAGAATGGACCTATATTTGGACCTGTATTGCAAGCTGAATTTGACACTTCTCATTGTCAGTTTCTATGAATTACTAAGCATCTGTATTGTTTTCTGTAAAATGTCCACTTTCCATTATGGTGCATTAATTATAAACTTCTTTGAATCTCCAGGAGAGTATTCTTCTCAAAAAACATTGGTACCTCGGGTTAAGCACTTAATTCGTTCTGGAGTTCCGTTCCTAACCTGAAACTGTTCTTAACCTGAAGCACCACTCTAACTAATGGGGCTTCCTGCTGCCGCTGCGCCACTAGTGCGATTTCTGTTCTCATCCTGAAACAAAGTTCTTAACCCAAGGTACTATTTCTGGGTTAGTGGAGTTTGTAACCTGAAGAATCTGTAGCCCGAGGTACCACTGTAAAGTGAAATAGTTTGAAAATCACACATCAAACACTTGTTTGAGATGGAAGTGAGTTCCTTGAATAATACTGGGACAAAACTAGTATTGCATTTGTTAAAATAAATGTGATTATTTAGAGAACGTGGAGAACGTGGAGAATACCAAATCAAGCATACAGATGCACACACTCACAAAGCTTCTAGCTCTGATTTAAATGTGACAGAATGCACAGTACGCGTTGTAGTTTATTTGCCTTCTGAAGGTGCTCAGTCCATTTAATAAAATGAGAGGGATAGTCTCCCATCAGAATAGAGTGAAGACTTCTTCTGCAGCATGAATCCCCTGAAGAGTAAAGAGGCTATCTCAGTTGTTGCATCCCTTTTAGACTTATTTGTTTTAACAGACCGTTAAGATATTTTGGGCTTGGGTCCCTTTTGACACAAGCCTGATTTGCCATGCTTAAAGAGAGAGCAAAATATGTTGGCCTTACGTCACAACTGACTGGCAAGTTGTATAAGTAGAGGACAGCAAAGTTGGGCTATAATGCAAATAATTCCAACCCCCCCCCCCCCCCCCCGCTCACAGGGCATTGCAAAACCTTGTGAATAACCCAAGTAAACATTCCTGGAAAACTAAAAAAAGAAAGAAACCAAACTAGTTTAACTAATAATGCATGTTTCTTTTGGTCACAATGGGAACCCACTGAACCCACCAGGCAATATGGTGAATCTATTCAGCTGCATATGGAGCCAGCAGAAGAGCCTGTTCTTTCTGCCATATTAAGTCCACACATACAATGCAATTCTTTGGTGACCTAGAGGCTTTTTCTTGCCATTTACACCAGAAGGAAAATTTCTTACTTTTCTAATACAATATTTTTATCTTATAAAATACACAAAATCTTATCATAAATAAGTAAATATACAATAGATTATCTTGATACATTTGTCATGAATATAAACTGATGGAAGTATCCAAAAGACTCAACATCTGTAAATTATTACAAATATTCTGCTCCTCAGAAAATCATGTATAAAACTGTTGTTACATTAATATTAAAATTTCTAAAGATTTATACATTCTCAGAAAAATGTTGCAACTGTGCCTTCTATTTCTGGGAGCCAACATGGTGTAGTGGTTAAGAGCGGTGGACTCATAATCTGGTGAACCAGGTTTGCTTCCCCGCTCCTCCACATGCAGCTGCTGGGTGACCTTGGGCTAGTCACACTTCTCTGAAGTCTCTCAGCCTCACTCACCCCACAGAGTGTTTGTTGTGGGGTGAGGAAGGGAAAGGAGATTGTTAGCCACTTTGAGACTCCTTAAGGGGAGTGAAAGGCGAGATATCAAGTCCAAACTCCTCTTCTTCTCTCCTCAGCTTTTGATATCATCAATCATGGCATCCACCTGGGAGATGGGCTTCAGGGGCACTGTTCCGCCATGCTTTCAATCTTATCTCCACGGCTGGTTCCAGAAGGTAGCATTGGTTGAGTGCTCCTTAGCCCCTTGGATTTTGAGCTATAGGGTGCCACAGGACATAATAATGTCTCCGGTGCTATTTAACATCTACATTAAACCATTGGGAGCATTCATTAGGAGTTTTAGAGTAGGGGTAGGCAACCTAAGGCCCAGGGGCCGGATGCAGCCCAATTGCCTTCTAAATCTGGCCCGTGGACGGTCCAGGAATCAGTGTGTTTTTACATGAGTAGAATGTGGTGGGCTAGATGAAGGCTGCTCCTTTTCTGTGGAATAGCATTCCTTGTCAAGATATGGCAGGTGCCCATTATCTGCCCTTCCCAGAAACAACTGAAGACTTTTTTGTTCTGACAAGCTATCCCAGCTGGAGAATCCAACTCTTCTGAAAGCTACTAAAAGCAAAGCCATTTTCAACAAATCTATTAGTCTTTGTATTGATATAGACATAACAAACCCAATCAGTTTATTTTTCAACTCTTTTATAGTTGAAACCTTATTTAATCTCCAGCATTCATCATAATTTATTGTAGCTGCCATAACTATATGCACTGTAAGTTGAGAACCTACATTTTACTACATTTAACACAAACTAAGAGCAACTGTTACTGTAAAGACAAGAAGGTTTATTGAACTCTTCCAAAAACCAAGCAGACCTTCCCACCCTGCTTGCTCAAATATGTCTCTTATCATTCTGTCCAAGCTCTGGTTTATGTTTACTTTATTCCCACCACCCCTTGTGTGGTCCAGTCTTTCTGAGAATTGGTAGCTTTGTCTGTCCCTCTCCTCCTTTCCCTCCTGCAGTTCTGGGAGAGTGCCAGTTTGGAGTCCCCAAACATGCTTCCCAATTAGTTATTTGTTTGGACCTAAATTCTTTTCTGGAAGAATTGTGTGGGTCTGCTAAAACCTGAGAATCAGCTCAAGCAACCAATCAAGCATTGATTGGTTAAATGGTAAGCTGTTCAGACAGTTGGTTATGGGGAGGAAGCTTCCCGCTGTCAGCTGTTTGTAGCACCTGCTGATACTGGATTTGCCGGCCCAGCTATATAGATTCATGCCCAGTGGCTTGTAGCTTGCAGAGTTCCCATACTGTGGCATGCTGCACATGAGGAACGTCTCTCCTGGGGGAGCCTTTATTTTGAGATATTTCAGGAGATTGATTTCCAGAGTGATTGGGAAACTAACTTACAGCTGTATTATCCTAGACCAAAGGGGGTTCAAATCTTGTAGAGATTGCATAGAATCATAGAATCATAGAATGAGTTGGAAGAGACCACAAGGGCCATCGAGTCCAACCCCCTGCCAAGCAGGAAACACCATCAGAGCACTCCTGACATATGGTTGTCAAGCCTCTGCTTAAAGACCTCCAAAGAAGGAGACTCCACCACACTCCTTGGCAGCAAATTCCACTGTCAAACAGCTCTTACTGTCAGGAAGTTCTTCCTAATGTTTAGGTGGAATCTTCTTTCTTGTAGTTTGGATCCATTGCTCCGTGTCCGCTTCTCTGGAGCAGCAGAAAACAACCTTTCTCCCTCCTCTATGTGACATCCTTTTATATATTTGAACATGGCTATCATATCACCCCTTAACCTCCTCTTCTCCAGGCTAAACATGCCCAGCTCCCTTAGCCGTTCCTCATAAGGCATCGTTTCCAGGCCTTTGACCATTTTGGTTGCCCTCCTCTGGACACGTTTCCAGTTTGTCAGTGTCCTTCTTGAACTGTGGTGCCCAGAACTGGACACAGTACTCCAGGTGAGGTCTGACCAGAGCAGAATACAGTGGCACTATTACTTCCCTTGATCTAGATACTATACTCCTATTGATGCAGCCCAGAATTGCATTGGCTTTTTAGCTGCCGCGACACACTGTTGGCTCATGTCCAGTTTGTGGTCAAACAAGACTCCTAGATCCTTTTCACATGTCCTGAACTCAAGCCAGGTGTATCACTTCATGTTTTTGTGCCTCTCAATTTTTTGCCCAAGTGTAATACTTTACATTTCTCCCTGTTAAAATTCATCTTGTTTGTTTTTGCCCAGTTCTCTAATCTGTCAAGGTCGTTTTGAAGTGTGATCCTGTCCTCTGGGGTGTTAGCCACCCCTCCCAGTTTGGTGTCATCTGCAAATATGATCAGGATGCCCTTGAGTCCATCATCCAAGTCGTTGATAAAGATGTTGAATAAGACCGGGCCCAAGACAGAACCCTGTGGCACCCCACTAGTCACTCTTCTCCAGGATGAAGAGGAACCATTGATGAGCACCCTTTGGGTTCGGTCAGTCAGCCAGTTACAAATCCACTGAGTGGTAGCATAGTCAAGACCGCATTTTACCAGCTTCTTTACAAGAATATCATGGGGCACCTTCTCAAATGCCTTGCTGAAATCAAGGTAGGCTACATCCACTGCATTCCCTTCATCTACCAGGCTTGTAGTTCTGTCAAAAAACGAGATCAGGTTAGTCTGACATGACTTATTTTTCAGAAATCCATGCTGACTATTGGTGATCACAGCATTCCTTTCTAGGTGCATGATGAGTACAATTCAAGAGATTTGTCTAGTTACGTGTCTGTCATATTGAACTTTCTGAGATATATGGAGTGACATTCAGAAATCCATTCTGACTATTGGTGATCACAGCATTCCTTTCTAGGTGCATGATGAGTACAATTCAAGAGATTTGTCTAGTTACGTGTCTGTCATATTGAACTTTCTGAGATATATGGAGTGACATTCCTAGTGACATCCAGATCTGATAATGGCTTAACTGCTTGCCAGTACCCACTTAAAACAAGGCAGCACAAAATTTCCTTTATATTGTTCATTTGTCAAGGAACATCAGTGGATACATCTGGAGCCCTTCATGGTCTATTTTTGCATGATGTGTCAAGTCACCAGACTCTTCCTGTAGACCTGGATTTGCCAACCTCTTTGGGCCTGTGGGCACATTAGCAAACCAGAAAAATGCTTGAGGGCACCACACACATGCCACAACTCTTCCTCCCCGACTGTAGGGCCTCTAAAATTGTCCAAATGTCACAATTAGGTTTCAAAAAAGGAGTCTTATTAGCCAGATGTAATTTCAGTGGGAGGATGGGACCTTACCATGCACCTCTGTGCCATCGAGCAGTAGTTGTTAGCAGTGATATGTTGCTCTCCTGGCTTCCCAACACTGCATGTCACTGCCAGTTACTGAGAGGGAGAGGGGCAAGGCATTGGGAGCTTTGATGCAGTGCAGGCACAGTGGTGGAACCAACCTGATGCTACTCCAGGGGAGCAATACTATTAATAGCAGAGCAAGTGACGATGTGTAGACAGTCAGCTGAATAAACCCATTAGGGCTAGGGCCAACCTAGCCAAGGCCAGTGTTTCTGTTCCCCTTCTTCCCTTGTGGTTCTGTACTCCCCACCCCATCCCATTCCTTGCTATATTGCTGTTTTCACTATTTATGATATTGGTGTTGCTTAATAACCGCTTCAGAAACCAAACATTTAGTTTGGCTGAGCCAGTCCAGTCTCTGGCAAATTTATATATAGTTATCCTTGCCCTGATTTGAGAAATGGGCCACTCTGGTACTCTTGCAGCAGAGAGTCTATTATAGCATTTTAGGCTGGGAGGTGTACGTTTGTGTCTCCACAAATTTTGATTGCATGACTTAGAATCCTGAGAATCTCCTCTCCCTTTTTCTTTAAATGCCTGTTTCCAGCCCTCAAGGTAGCAAAGAGAAGCTTGAAAGTGTGTTGGCAATGCCTGTATACTATCAAAAGAAATTGTGGGGAGCAAATGGAAGAGGATTTGCTGTCAGCAGGGTTTCTGTGGCCTACATAACTTCTTGCCTTTCCCCATGACTAGCTGAATAACATCTATAAATCTTCTAAATTTGCATAGTCTATGCATATTGCAGTATCCAGTATTTCTTGGTGTTGAATTTGATCTACCTAAGACAAGAATTATACCTGCTTTTGGGTTAGTATAACCATGGGTCCTTCTAGCTCAGTTTTGTCAATGCTGGCTGGCAGAGGCTCTCCAGGGTTTCACAGTTTCCCAGCCTTATCTGGAGACATCGGGTATTGAATCCTATGGCACTCAAAGCCAGTGCTCTGCCACTGATCTACAGCCCTTCAAGAGTACAGGGCTGCCATCTGTTTCTGTACTTCTGTGTTGTTAAGAAACGCAAGTAACCCAAACAGTACAAAATAAGGGTGGTGCCTGTTGAGGATGGTACCCACCGAAGATGCAGCAATTGTTTACGGCGGCTTTACTTTTTCATTTGAGCAGTGTTTTACAGGGTTTCTGCCTGCTTGGCTTGCTCAGGCTTTTGCTGACTACCACCAACTGCCTGGCAATCTGTTTCTCAGGATTCATTAACTTCTTTTCTCTGGTGTGTAGGAAAAAAGTATTTCTTGCTTGAGTGGGTTGATGCATTTAAGCTTGCCTAGTGCTTGGTCTTAAATGTGGCTGCCTTTAGTTGTGCATAGTGTATGCCTGTGTCTTAAGACTCTGTTTCTTAGGATGATGTGTGTCTGTTGTATGTTATCCAATGACCTCTTTTTAACAAGGTGTTTGTGCAAGGGAGACCACGTTGGCTATTTTCATTTGAGAAAACTAGGTTATAGGAGATGATGGCACCAGATGGCCGCATATCCTTAGAGTGCTGTGGATTATTAAAGGGTTTGTCATGCTCTTATCCTTTTTTCCTCCCTCCCGATACTGTCAAGTGCCCATTGCTTAAGATCTGTCATGAGTTGTGTCATCTAAGAGCAGGGGTGGGCCTAATTTCAAAAGCTCTCTGGAAGTGATCAGATCTCTGGCAAGAGTGATCCTATAGGAGAGAAGAAGAAGGGGTGGCAGAAATTAAAAAGCCCAACTCTACCATGTGTGCCTGGACGGATTATCCCCAAGCGAATGCAACTTTAAACAGAAGACAGGTTCCCCATTCCTGTTTTAGAGGCTGTATAGTTCAGGGCCTCAACACACCCTGGTCTGATTTAGAACTCCTAGGTATCCATACTTTCCTGTTAGATGTTGGGAGGCCCCTCTTCAGTGGCACAAGAATCTATTGGAAGGAGTGCTGGCAATTTTTCTCAATGTCTTATTCATCTTGCTATGTATACAGCTGATCCCACAGTTTTGGTGAGGAAGGCTTATAATTGTGGAAGGGAAAAACCTCTACATTGCTGTCCCTGTTGAAAGTCTGGAGCACACATCATCATAAGATGATAGAGTTGTGCTTCTTCTAGGCTGGGAGATGCCTGTTGTTGCACAGGCAGTCCTGATTCATCTAGCCGATCACCTCCTGATCCCAGTTTTATTCTTCTTGTTCAGGAATTAGAAGCATGTCCTTGGAAGCCTGCCCTAAGGTCACTGTTGTTGGGGGCTGACACTGTGAGGCCAGAAGTACTGTGATATAATTCTTTCCAGCCCAGATTACATCTGAAAGAATTTTTAAGCTGAACATTAAAATAAGCAATACTTCTGAGTATGGGGACGGGTCAGAGAGGGGCAGTGGTAGTTTCTACTTTTTTCTCTTAAGAGGCCCAGATAAAGGATAAAGTATTCAAGCTTCTCCTGCTATTAGTGCTGGCTACAGGGAAAATATTGTCCTAGTTCACACAGGAGCCTGTAAACAAGGCCCTGGGTGACTGTAGCAGCAACTAAGGATTCCAACAGCTACTACAGCCAGTTGCAGAGAGCCCCCCTCAGTCCTCTCTCATTGTGGCTGCTCACCCTTCCTATGGCAGTAATGCTTGCTTTCTTGCTTCTGCTGATCCAAGAGGCTGAAGGAAGTAATTGCTTGCTGCAATTCATTGGGAATCCAGTAGCTCTATTTTTATTTTTGCTTCTTTGAATTCTTTGCTTGGAAACCTTTAAGGTGCATCACAGACAGAAGTCACCTGGATCCCCAACTCTTTAATGGATCGCCTCATCTCAGATCAAAATAAACATCCCCACTCCAGATGTCTGCCCTTGCCATGAGAAGAGTTTATGAGGAAGTGTGGCCGTTTCTTTTGACTTGGGGTTTTGGACTAACACCCTAAACTGCACTAAAATGCAAATGTCAGCACAGTTTGCAGTGCCCATTTTGTCACCTACTTTGAAAAGGCCGACAGCAGTATGCCTAGCTCTGATTTGTGATTGAGATGAACATTCTAGATAATTTTCTTTTTGTGAGTAAAGTTCAGATTTTAATTTATCTTATATTAAGTTGCTGGTCAGCCCATTACGTGCACAGTAGCTATGTATTGAAATGGCCTCTATGATTTATTTATTTTTAAGCAAGGAGAGTAACTGCTTGCTTGGCGCTGAAAGCTCCTTATGGACCAAGAACCTTTGGTCATGTTTTTAAGCTAGATGAGTGGTTCAGATTTTATTTAATCTTTCTTAATGTAAGATTAAAAACAAGATTAGAAAGTTCTGGTGGCAAGACCAGCTCCTTGGAAGCTTATTGCAGGATTAGAAGTGTATTTCTTCTTGCTATCCAGAAAGCTCCCTTGTGCTACAACAGACATTAACTCATTTGTCTCACTGTGGAAGATTATAATCCACTTTCCAGTAAAGTAACCCTAGCATTTAGTTCACAGCAGGGCTTAGTGATGAATCGAACTGCCTCCTCAAGAAATCCGAGAGAGTGCGGCATTACAAAAGTTTCCTTCCTCACAAGCTTTCACTCTATACTAGGCTGTGGTTATGTCTGCACTACAGACTTGGTGTTGCACAATAAAGCCTTTAATACTGAGCCAAAGGAAATAGACATGTTTCACAACAGCATACAATTAAACTATGGGATTCACTCCAACGAAGGCAGTGATGGCCACCAACTTGGATGGCTTTAAAAGAGGATTAGACAAATACACAGAGGATAAGGCTATCAATGGCTACTAACCACAATGGCTTTGCTGGGGGACAGTATGCTTCTGAATTCCAGTTGCTGGAAACTGCAGGAGGGGAGAATGTTCTTGTGCTGAGGTCATTCATGCAGGCTTCCCATTGGCATCTGCTAGGGTAACAAGACTGGTGCAGCCACACTGGGTACCATGCTGCAGGGGGCACCACAACAATCCTGTAGAGCAGAGCATGAGAGGCAGGGTGCCTCTGAAATTGCAGAGCCCGAAGTTCACCACTGACCGTAAGAACAGAGTGCTACATTAGATGGCCTGTTGGTCTGATTCAGCAGGCTCTTCTTATGTTCTTACTTCAAAAGTTATCAGTAACTAGAGGACTTGTAGTTCAGTCTCGCTCCTGGGAGCTTGCTGTTGGCCCCAAATAACAATGTATTATAGGAGAAAGGAAATACAGGAAGAAGACACAGACTGGCCTTGTTCAATGAAATGCAGATACGCAGAATCCATGTGTTCATCTAAACATGTACTTGAGGGCAGCTTTCAGCTGTCATAGGAACATAGGATACAGTAATACCTCCACGAACGTTCACCTCATCTAGCGTCCATTCTGGTGAACGTCCACGGCAAACCCGGAAGTGCCGGAACAAGTTACTTCTGGGCTTGCCGCATGCGCAGAAGTGTTAAATTGCTCTTTGCACATGCGCAGAAGCGCAAACCGCTCCGCTTGCATGTGCAGACATGGCACTTTGCCCTGCATCCTTTTCAGCTAGCGGCCGGGGCTCCGGAACAGATCCCGGTCACAAAACAAGGTACAACTGTACATCTAGCTCAGTATCAGCTAGACCAGGAGTTGTCTTATGTAGATTTTTCAATTTCGTTGTTCTCTATGGGACAATGACAATAAAGATGTATTGTATCGTATCGTATCGTATCGTATCGTATCGTATCGTCAACCTGGTCCCTACCGCCCACTAGTGGGCGTTTCAGGATTCTAGGTGAGCGGTAGGGGGTTCTATGGCACAAGCTCCTTCCATTGAGCACTGGTGGGCGGTAGGAAAATTTTACCATCAAGAAAGATGTATTAGTGGGCAGTAGGTATAAAAAGGTTGACTACCCTTGAGCTAGACTGACTAGTAACAAGTAGCTCTTTGTAGTTTCAGGCAAGAGTCTTTCCCCAGCTCTCCCTGGAGATGTTAGGGGATGAATCTCAGAATTTCAGCATGCCAAGCTTATGCTTTCCATTTGAGCTATAGTCCTTCCCTTAATACTGGTTTACCTATAAGAAGGACTCACGTGATTAGCTCTTAAGGTGAGCATAAGAAAGCATGTCATACAGCCTTGTTACTTAACTCCCAGAATTATCTTAACTTGCACAAAATAAATAAATACCAAGTGGCTAGTAGAATTTGCAGACTGGAAGAATTTCCCCACCACCCTCCAGCAGCATAGAAAAGGGGTCCTTTTCGTCCCTTCTGTTAATATTTACTGAAATACTGTGCTACATGGAAATGCTTCCTCCGATTTATTAATACAGGTGAAACTCGGAAAATTAGAATATCGTGGAAAAGTTCATTTATTTCAGTAATTCAACTTAAAATGTGAAACTAATATATGAGATAGACTCATGACATGCAAAGTGAGAAATGTCAAGCCTTTATTTGTTATAATTGTGATGATCATGGCGTACAGGCTGATGAAAATCCCAAATTAACAATCTCAGAAAATTAGAATATTAAATGAAATCAGCAAAACAAGGATTGCAAATAGAGCAATATTGGACCTCTGAGAAGTAGAAGCAGATTTCAAATATAATTTCAGTGAAAGTTCATGCTGGGAAAGTAACCACGGATCCTATATGAAAATGGTTTGTAATTTTACCAAACTGCTCTCTTCTAGCACTCTTTGTGTCTTATCATACACGTATATAGTAAAGAATGATGTCAGTTGACTCACATAAGCGGCCACAAGTTACAAACCAAACACAGTAATGGGCACCTTGATCATCTAAACCCTTTTCATGCTGTAGTGTTTTCCAGGCTGATGGAGGAAGACACTTAATGTTCAGGAGCTCCAGATATACATTCTTGCATTCTCTCTGCATCAACAAGCGGCCTTTACTTGCTGCCTGATAAAAAAAAAAGTGGATGAAACGCACAGTAGCCCTGCGTTGTTTGCTACGTTAATGCTGTATCATCATTTGTTTCTGGAATATATGATATTGAAATATGACTTTCTTCTATAAGCATTAACATATCCTAGTTGATTATTTGAAATTTGGAAGGAAAAAAATATTATTTGACTTCTCTGCTTGGGATTTTCCTTTCATATACTGTAATTACAGAATTGGAGGGGTTTCCAAGGGTAATCTAGTCCAACTCTCTGCTAAGTGCCCAACCAACCTCTGCTTAAAAACCTCCAATGAAAGGAAGTCCACCACATTCCGAGCTAGTCTGCCTCTCTGCCAAATAGCTTTTACCATCAGAAAGTTCTTCCTAATGTTTAGTTGGAATCTCCTTGCTTGTAATTTGAATCCATTGAGGGCCTACCCTTTGGAGCAACAGAAAAGAAGCTTGCACTATCTTCTTTGTGACAGCCCTTAAGATATTTGAAAATGGCTGTCTTATCTCCTCCCAGTCTCCTCCACTCCAGACTAAACATACCCAACAACACCCTCAATCATTCCTCATGAGGTTTGCAGAACAGCAAGAGTCTTGATCCAGGTTGGGACTTCGGTTGGGGGAGGATTACCTTAACATTTTCTCCATCACTGTTTCGTGTAGAAAATCCCTCACACACCCCTCAGAATCTGCTATTTACTGTTTTCATTTTTTGTTTGTTTGATTTTTAAGTGGCAGAGAATCTCAATCATAGGGCTTCAAAGATGTGGTGAATATCATGTATACTTTGACCCTCTTTGGGCAAGTTACTTTAAGGCTCAATTTCTGTTAATCTGAAAGTGAGAAGTGAAAGATTATACTGTAAAAATGATTTCTCCCCTACCCCCCGCTTCCATTGATGCCGTTCTTCCATCAAAGTTCAACCCTGCTGATGTGGTACTGTGAAATGGATCAACTTTGTCAGGAACTTGACAAAGAAGCTGGTAAACTCATCTTGGCTATAACCTCAGCAGGATATACTCTTTTTTCCTTTTTTTCTTCAGGAGGGTAGCTTAATTAAATCAAGCCAAAGATACATACAGTACGGCAGGTGAAACCTGCAGCAGCATAAACAGATCAATAAACCGATTTGTGTTTGCTGACCAGAAGAGATTTCTAATTACTAGTGCTCTGTACTCCCCATTTCTGATGGCGTGGGAGTAATTGAAAGCATAAGAAATCCAATTCCCTCTTGTTTGGGAGTTTGTTTCTGTTTAGCTCCACTTAACTGGACTGGTAATGCTGACTCGTCTGTCGAGGCTGAAGGTGGTAATTTATTTCCAGTTGTCTACTTGGGATCCTAGTTCCTTATTCAAGAGTTGCTTAAATTTTTTAGTAGGAGTTTATTTTTAGAGGTTTCAATACACTGTGCACTAGCACATTAAAGTATATATGTGTGTGTATTTATTTATATCTGCCTAAAAGCACACATGTGCCCCAGACTTCCTGCTTCCATTCTGTCTGCATCCTGTATCAAAAAGAGAACGAAAACTTTGCTGATAAATAACTGTAAGCAGCACCAAAGGGGGAATTATCCTCCAATTTGTGAACCTATGGAAATACTGTATATTCTGTATTGTTGTATAATATCTAGGATTTATTGCATGGAGAATCAAATAATATTATTATTACTGTTGTTTTTGTTGTTATTTAATCTATACGCTGCTTACATGCCAAAATGGCTTCTAAGTGGTTTGCAACTATAAAATCAGAATCAAAACACACAATAACATTAAAAGATCCATAATTAAAATATACAATAAAACAAACAATTAAAAAAGCATAATGAAAACCGTGAAAACCCATTTCAGGAGATATGGGAGATAGTCCAGCAAGATTCTTAATACATGTGAAAGTGTTCACACACACCAAAACTGTTTTTTAAAACTATTGATTTAGCATGTTTAGAACCTTTCTGAAGTTTTGTCAGAGTGCAAATACTGAAAACCCAAGTATTAGTAAATGCCTTTTGACTTTTCACACAAAACTTAATTAAGAGATGTAGCAGTATGGTTGCTCATTAATCATACATTTGCTGCCCCTGTAGTTCTGCTGCCCTGCAATCCATTAGTCTCCAGCCATGTACGTGCCAATGTACATCAGCATCTGTGGCTTCTTTCACTGCTCTGGGTGAAGGGCAAGGCAAGTTATGTGGTTCCTTCCACTTGCCAGAGCAAATGTGGTAGGAATGCACACTTATTTAAAACAAGACTGCTTGCACATTGACATTCTTAGGGATGGTCTGTTTGTTACCAACATTGGAATTAATGCTTTCTTCTCTCCCCACCCCGTTTCTTTATAATTTTCAGCCATGGCCCAGCGTGTCCAATCTTGCTAAGGATTTCATTGACCGTCTGCTCACAGTGGATCCTAGTGACCGAATGACAGCTCTTCAAGCCTTAAAGCACCCCTGGGTGGTCAGCATGGCTGCCTCTTCTTCCATGAAGAACCTGCACCGCTCCATATCTCAGAACCTCCTCAAGAGGGCATCATCTCGTTGCCAAAGCACCAAGTCAGCCCAGTCCACCCGCTCCAGCCGCTCCACTAAGTCCAATAAGTCCCGGCGGGTACGGGAGCGGGAACTGCGAGAGCTGAACTTGCGCTACCAGCAGCAGTACAATGGCTGACAACTCAGCAGGAGGCTGCCTGGCTTGTTCTTTCTTTGTCATTGGGACATGTTCTGCACTGTGTTCACTAAAGTGAGGGGGCCCCAAGCTCCAGCCCTCTTCTCTCAAAGCCCAACTTCCTATGTCCATCTTCCTGCCTTGGGAGATGGAGCTTTAGGGATGCTGCTGCCCCTGGGAGCACATCTCACCTGTGTAGGGTCAGGGGATTAGAAAATCCTGCTTCTTGGCCCAGCCCTGGAAAAAAAGTCTACAGTTAGTTGCCTGAAATACTGGAGCCACGCAGAAGAGTCCTTCCCTAGCCAAGAATCTTTGCTACTCCTATTTATTGACTCCCAAGTTTTATCTAGCCAGCCTCTGTTGCTACAGGGTCTGGGAGGGGGTGATTTAGGCCAGGGTAGCTAACATGGTACCACCCAAACGTTGTACTACAGCTCGTCATCCCTGTTGACTGGCCATGCTGACTGGGGCTTATGGGAGTTGGAGTCCAGCAATAACTGAAAGGCACCACATTGGCTATTGCTGACTTAGGCTGTTGGTTAAAATCAGGATCATGGAACCCCATGGGTCCACAGGTGCAGAAGGAGATTACTGAGTTCCTCTTCTGGCTGCAGCCTTTTGCACTGCATCAGACATTGCCCCAGAAGTTTTTGTGACATCAGTTGGGGGTTTTCTGCACCCAAAAGAGAGGGTAGGGGAGCCTATAAGTCCCAGTACATGTATGGAACACTGCACAGCTCTCTGAATCTTGGGCTATGCACTTTCACAGTTTCAGTTTTCACTTGGTTTTGCACTTAAATGGCTGTTTACCATCCATACAGGTGTGAAATGGGCACCAAATTCTCCTTTGATACTTGTTGGAGGAAATCAGAATTAGTGCTGCTCCTCTCACTGTCCTGTGTGTTGAAGGCCGGAGAATTGGTTGTGCCTTAACTACACTCATTTTGTTGGCTGGGAATGGCTTTTCCTCCCACTATTTTGGAGCCTTATCTTGCTCTCTGTTGTATCTTTCCACTTAACGCTGGAATGAATTATAGGAAACCCGGTCATTCTGACTCAATCAGTGCTTAGATGTGTGACTCAGTACTGCAACATTGCAAGTGACTGAGGAGACATCAGACAGCTTTCTTCCCTCTTCTGACCTCCTGTACACACACCAGGGGGATCTCTAATCACAGGGGTGACATCAAAAGTCTGTTTCTCTCATTAAAGGCTTGAGTGGGTTCAAACAACTTCTGTGGTTGCCTCTACAGCTGGCACACTGGGGTGCAGGCAATGCAGCTTAGAATCATAAAATCACATAGCTTAAAGGGACCCAAAGATAATCTACGCTGCATGCCCCCCCCCGGATTAACCCACTTTCCCTTGGTTTTAGTGTGCTGCAAATAAAGAGCCAGAGAGCAGATCAGGTGCTCACACCAGAGCTGCCTCTTGAATTAAGTAATATGAAAAAAATCTAGACAGCAAGCTTGGTGCTTATTACAGCAGCAAATTGCCAGAGTCAGTAGCCAGTCTGAGCAGAGAGACAACATGTTTCTGTAGGGATTTTTTGTCTCCAGTTAGACTTTTATCTAAAAGTGCAGCAAAATGATGTAATGAGGTACTAGAGTCCTGAAATAATACGATGGCCCGGGGTGGGATAAATTTATTTGGGATATAGGAGCAGGTCTTGATGTTCTGCCCTTTCATTCACCCCAGTAGATAAGGTCAAGAAAAAAGGGCAGCTATTGGAGTTTCCAACCTTAAATCAATATTTCTTTGTCCTATTGGTGATTGGCATTGTGCCCTCACAGCTGCTCTGTTTCACAGAAACCAGCTACTTCCAGCTTCTGGTGGCACATTCTGTTTCCGAGAGCAACTCTCTTGTGCTGGTTAATGTGTCAGGATACGTTGTCAGACATCAGCTTAAGGACATTGCGTCAGTCATGGTAGGCAGGTGGCCATATCATTTTGGGCAGTTAAATTTTATTGACGTCTACAAAGGCACTTCCTGTCCCAATGAACGGTGACTCAGTGGAGGTGTTAAGAGTAGAGGTATACGAAGTGTCTGGGAGTGATACCATTGCAGTGGGGTAGCCCTTGGGTGCTCCCAAGTGTGCATTTCCCCATGACAGAGAGGGAGGGAGTGATGGTGCAGCAGTAGCTGTGATGTTGAATCGCTCATGAGTAAGGATGTGAGTCTGCCTTGTCCTCACCTTGTTGAGACATCAGCATTACATAGGAAAAGTAATGTAACACACAGCTTCTGTGCTTAAGAAGCTTTAATCCACTACAGTGGGATTGATTCATGTCCATGTGTTCCTGCAGTAGTTCTAGAGGTACATTATGCAGAACCAGTTTCTCAGCCCAGGGTGACATCTAGTGGTCCAACATACTCTCTCTGTCAGTAACCAGGCTCCTATTGATGCTTGGCTTTATCTCATACAGTGGTTTCACTTAGGTTACTTTGCAGTTGGAGATGCACCTCCTATTTATGTGTCACCAATGAGTATTGCCCACTACTGGTGGCACACTGGTCTTTTCATTGACCTTTGTGGTGTGTATGTGACTGCTTCAGGAGACACCCCAGCATGTGTGGTAGTGGTAAAGGTCTCTGCCTTGTCTCTCTATTTCCAGTTGTCTATTCTGGACAGGACACCAATTTTATAGAGGGTTATTCCTTTAGACTCACTCACACTTTCCCCCACAGTTATTTCTGTTACGTGGTGGGGAAATTGCCAAATGTGAGGTGCCTATGTTCAACAGCCCTGGTGGTGAGAAATTTCTGTGTTAAGGAATTATTAAGTTTGTAGGTCAAAAGAAAATGACCACATGACCTCTCACTGTTGTTCCGTCCTGGATTGCAGAACTCTTAGTCCATGCTTTTGCTTCTCCTGCTCAGAGTTCATGCCAGTGAACCGGATTCATTGTGTGCATTTGCTTAAAAACAAAAAGCAACAAGATGGCAACACTTGGGTACTGAATTGTCTCTAGATGTTGAAGTTGGTTTCTATCTTATACCACCCCTTCCCTCCCTGTTGGAACAGTAAATAATGTAAATATATTGGAACTTAGCAATACTGTGTAAAAAACAAACCAACCCATACAGCATCTCGGATCTAGTGGTGCAAAACCCACCTATCCACTGTGGAATGGGATAAGGTCAGTGATTGCCACTTCAGAGAATGCCAGCTTCAGATTATGTGACGTTTTTGTTAATAAGAGAGGACTCACCCCAGAGACATAACTGGGAATGGGGATAGGGGGTATCATGGACAAGAGGCAGCTTCTAACTGGGTTGTGCCATTTGAAATGTCTCACGTTTTTGAGCCTGGAGATTCTTCATGATTACTTCCTCCTACTGGTTTCCAAGTACTCCGTGTACAGGAGTTCCCCTTCTGTATCAGCAGATTCTTCATGATGACGTCCTCCTACTGGTTTCCAAAATTCCCCTTGCCCCTTTGGATAGTACCTTGAAGTGTAATTGTGCCTTAACACCAGCCAGCAGGGATAAGGAGGTGTATTCTGCTGGGACAAAGGCCCTTGGGGTAGTTTAATCAGAAAGGGGACAGGCTAGCATCTGCTATGTCTCTTCTCTTAGTGTTCGGAAAGTTAGTTTCTCTTGCTATAAAGGCAGTGCCCCAATCATTAATGCCTAGTTCTTTGAAGTCCCCCACTCCATATGGGACCAAGCCCACACTCACAGTGGATAGAGGCTTCCTTGCCCTCATAGCCTTACTAAGCAAACTCTGATGGCCAGCTGTAACAATCTGGAAGAGCTGGGTCTTCCAAGGGAACCTTTTGGCTTGGTCCTTCTAAGCTACGGTGCTTCTGTTTTGAGGTGCATTGGGATGCTTCCAAATGGAGTTTTTTTCCTTTTCTTTTTCTGGACTCATGTATGCTCCTACATGAGTGGAATTCAAGAGGTCCTTAGGCTTACAAAACCATTTCCACATGCATGTCAGATGGTGTTCCCTCCCTCTTCAATTTTTCCTGTCTTCCACTCCTTGTACAGCATTGAAGACTATCCCCAAGAATTTTGGGGAGTAGTTTGTTGAGCCAGCACAGAGGTCTTCAGTCATAAAGGTGAGCCTCCCAAAGTTTGCACGATAATTCATTGCACGGTCATTTTGGGTCCTAGCCAGTGCTTTTTTCCCTAAAAAAATGTTTTGGGGTACTCTCATTCTGTCTGAGACTCAGGAAACACCATGACAGGAAATGAGGCCGCCATCGGGAGTAGCAACCAAACTGACGATTCACCTTGCTAGAGAAGAAACTAAATTTTTTATTTTTTTTAGTTTCTTCTCCTGTTAGATTCACAAAATGTTTAGGGGTATGCATACCCCTACATCCCCCCAGAAAAAAAACCCACTGGTCCTGGCCATGGAGCATGCCTGAAACTGGTAAGCCAGATGGAAGATATGTCAACCCTGTGCTGATACCAGGTTGGGGAGACAGCAACATGTGTAATGCAGCCACTTTGAGGTTTTTTCCCCTACAATTGAGTGATTTATAAATTTTATGAAATAATAATGGAGTTGCTACAGGTAGCACAATCTGCAGGAATAAATGTCTCCCCCCCCCCCCATTCCACATCCTCCTTTCTTCCTTCTCTGATGCTGTGGAACAGTTTTAAACCCCCATCTGGAAGCTCCCTTGGTCTTTATTTCTGATGTGCTGATTACTTTATTCATCTGTTGAAGAGCTATATGGTCCCTTTCTTAGAGTGCAGATGCCACTGCTACTGAAATATACTGTGACTGAAGCACAGACTTCTGCATGAGCTGTCCTTTGTCCTCATCCAATTGCTACTTTATAAGGAAAGAAGTCTGGTGGGGAAGTCCCTGATGTGATGGCATGTGAGGGAGATAATGAAGGCAACATGGCACCTTTTAGCTGCCATAATGTGCATTTTGGCCCTCGGCTAACCAGACAGACAGCTGAACCTGCCATTACATGAGTCTCTGGTTTGGTGGCCAAGCAGCGGCCTGGGATGCCCTGGCTGAGGCTGCATTCTTCTCTGACACACACTAACACCAAAAGTATGGGATTGTCTTCATTGCAGTTGAGTGAAACGTGTTTGTCAACCATGTTGTTTAATCCAAATATGAATGAGACAGCTGAGATGGTCCTCTGAAAAATCTGTCAGTAGCAAATGCCCGGGGGGAGCACTAGAAAAAGGTGTGTGTGGAGAGAGGAAGGAAGGAAGAAAGGAGGGTGGCTTGGTTGCATCATTCTGCCTATGCAGCTTTTTCATACCTTTTGAAAAGTTGTCTGTTCTGAATGCCTTATACAATTTTCATGCTGCATTTGCCAACCAGTGCCTTATCTAAAGCAATCAGTCTCTGCCCTCAGAAATCCAGGGTTCACTTGCAGCCCTGAGTCAAGATCCAAAGAACTGCACAATTAGTAATGCACATCAACTAGTCTTCATGTTTGTGTTTGTCGTACTCCTGTTTCCCCCTTTCCCCCATGCTCTGCTACAGACAGTTTTTGAACTTGGGAGTACAAGGGCCTCCGGTTCAAAGGGAGGAGCAATAAAATAAAAAAATCTCCCACTGGGCACTTTCTAGCCTGACACTGTTCTGTGGATCTCAGCTGTAGCATTTGTCCCCCACTAGCAGAGACATAGCAAAGAATGTGAAGTGCATTAATTGACTGAGGGTGGCTATCCGAAACAACCAGGTGCCCTGCTTTCTGGTTGGGCAGCCTCTGTGTTGAAAAATCCATTTGTCTGTGCTTTTCCATCACTCGGTCTTCTCTTCTGCTTCATCTTTGCTCGTCTGCCTCTGTGGCATGTAATGAAAGGTTGTTTGTAAAGTTGTGGATTTCAAGCTTTCCACTTGCAGTGTACCTTCTAGCCCAACTCGTCTGCAAAGGAACCCTTCCCTGCTTGCCCATGAGAGAACCCCAGCACACTGCAGAGGATTCTGGGGCTTGTAGGGCATGCCCTGAGCAATGGCTGCTGGTTAGGCCTTGTTGGGTGTTGCCATTTAACCTGTACTAAAGTAGAATGCCTTAGAACACAACACACCTACTACTGGCTATGCATTGCTGGGAAAGATTGGTAGTGATGGGCAAGCTGCCTATTGGGAAAGCTCGTTTGCCGCTACTGATTTTTCTCACTAATAAGTATTCAAAGAACCTCTGGGTTCTTGGAGTACACTTTGAAAACCACTGTTTTAAATAAACAAGGCTGCGGTTCTATAGCCACTTACCTGGGAGTCAGCACCATTGAACTCAGTGGGACTTATTTCTGAGTAGACATGCACAGGACTGCACTGTGTAAGACACTCTGTCTCTGGCTAGTAGCAGGCTACTTTCCAAGCCGCCTGCAGTCTGGTGGCCTTTGGACTGGGGGGGGGGGCGCCACCTCTTGGCCTCCACCTGCCCTTATCTTCTCCCCTGTCCTGTGAATGGTTCACTTTTGACCCTGCAGTGCTTCTTGGGAGTCCTCCACTGCAGGTCTTAAGGAACTCACTTTCACTTTTCAGGCATTCTCCCCCACCCCCTGCTCATCACACTCAAGTTGCCAAAAAAGATTGTTCCTAATCTCTCTCTCCCTGTTCTCAGTGGGACAGTGAGATTTTACTTTTTGTCTCAAGTATTCATGTCTGTGATTTTTGCCTTAGGTGCCTCTTTTATTTTTTACACTATGGAATTTCTACTTTTTTAGAGTGTGATTTGATACATGGCAATTAACCTGTAATGTTGAAATTAGTGTATAGAATTATTTATTTTGTGTATTCAGTCTGTTTTTAAATTTGTAAAAGTATTCTGTTTATTCAGTAAAGTGTTGATCCTCACTTAGTGGTCAGTGTATTTCATTTGGGGGGTGGGGGTGGTGTGGTGTGGTGACTGCTTTATTGAATACATTGTCAATGTCTTCATATTGGTTCCTTTATGTGCATTTTAGTGGATGCTCAGGCATGCTTTATGAAGGCAGGCCTCTCAGGATAGCAAACGTTCCTAATCTTTCCTCTGCTTTTGTTCCACCTGCATCTGTCTGATATTTCTCTTGGGATATCAATTACTTGCTGAGCACAGGATGGAGTACTGTATGTGCCCCCCCCCCCCCGGATGGAGACTGGAGCAAAGTGGTTTGTATGATGTGTATTTCAGAGGTATTTTTAATGACAATGAAAGACTGGAGAGTTATTATTACAGTTATTATTTATTAAATTGGTCAGCTTCCCAGCAGCATCTACCTAACTCATTGTTGAAAATGGAACCTTGGTTCAGTCCAGCAGAAATCACATGAGCTTACCACTCCCCAGTAGAGTTCCAATACATAGCCACAAACTGAAAGTGTGAGAAGTTATGCCTGAGAAAATAGATGTTGTAATCCAAGATTTATTGTGTCCTCATCACATTTTCATGTGAATCTATGCCACCAGAGTTCAGACTGTTGTATTCTGCATCTGCACATGGAGGCAATTAGGATCTTTGTAGGTGCTGTGTTGTGTGAGAAGCTAAGCTACATGGATGGGTGCTTCATCTGAAAAAAATGCTTAACACATGCTTTTGAAGAAAGACACTTTCAGCATAGTGCTTCCTTAGTATCTCTGACTCTCTTTGAGTTAGCACTCTTACCTGGCAGGAGGAAGCGCCAGTCCCTGCAGAATATAGATCATAGATGTGGCGATACGGTTGCCCCAGTATTGCTGGCACTAGCTTACTATCACCAGGGGTAGATCCACCTGCTGTAGATTGGCAGCTGAGCCACTTGCTACTGAAACAAGTCAACCTCAGGTAGGGAAAGGTTAGGCAAAGTGGTGCCTGGTGCCCATTCAGACTGATAGGGTGGAGAGCAGGAAGACTCAACCGTAGGTGGAGCCAGAGCTAATGGCAAGCAGAGACAACTCACTGGCTTTGTCCATATTCTCCTGCCTGCTGAATTCTACAAGAACAACACAAAGAGTGCCATCCACTCTTACGTAGGGCGGGGCTCACCTCCCCCCCCCCATTTTATTCATGTTGGCACCCCTGGAAGCAGGGCCATTCCCCTGGCTCTGCTCCAATACAAGCTCCCTCAGGCACCTTTCTCTTGCAACTGTGACCTGACTGCAGCTGCTTATCTTGTCTCTCCATCAGTCACTACCCAAGGAGAGGAAAGAAGCAAAAATCACGGGTGGCACAGACCTGATTTGGTGATACACTGGCATTACTCACCACAGATAGTGCCAAGCAGGTCTAGGTAGGCAGCAGCTGTCCACAGGAAAGCCATTTCAGTTAGTGCCCCAAGGGAACATCAGATCTCCTGGTACCCCTCATTCTATATGGGCTCCTCATCTGCACTAAGCAGCTTATTGGCAGCTGTACTTCTCTGTGTGTCCTTGAGCTGATAATAGCAGAAGGCCCAATTTAGCCTTGTGTTAAGTGCATGTGCTGGACCAAAACGCTTCCTCACCAGGACCCACAAAGCCTCCAACAGTATCTGTTCCCCATAACTGTCTCTTTATGAATGGGAAACACAACATTCAGAATTGGGTGTGTGGTTTTTAATTCCCGTGCTTAATGGCTCAGCTATAGAACTATCTGAAGAAACATGGTGTTCTGTGCTCCACACGTGTCCAAGTGGTGAGAGTTTGCAAGCACTGGGAAGAGAGATTGATTACACTGGGCAACAATTTTTTACTTTTTGAATGTTGTCTAGATTTCTACAACTGATTTAGGGTATTTTTGCAGTGCTGAATCAGGAAATGGCATCCGTTTCTCTCCATCAGGTCAGGTTTACTGTAAACTGAATGGTGGGCATTGATAAAGGTAAGTACACGTAAATTGCATGTTGCTTCACCATTTTTCAAACTTCAGGGCTTGAACTTCCGTTTCTTGGAATTCCAGGAATGCTCAGCGGCAGGGAGGTCTCTCTTCAGAGTCCAACAGTAGTCAGCCATCATGACTGCGTCCCAGCGACCCTGATACCTGGTCTCCATCTCTTTCATGTCCTGATGGAATCTCTCCCCCTGCTCGTCACTCATTGAACCCAGGTTCTCAGGAAACCGGTCCATATGTGAAAATAGGTAGTGCATCTTTACGCTCATGTTGCAGCCCAGGTTTCTGAAAGCAGTCAGCATGTTGTTGACAAGTTCTGCGTAGTTTCTGGCCTTATTGTTGCCAAGAAAGTTCTTCACTACCATAACAAATGCCTTCCACGCTTCCAGTTCCACTTCGTTCATTGAGTTTCCGAAATCTGGATCTCTGATGAGCTGACGGATCTGAGGACCGTCAAAGATGCCAGCTTTCAACTTCTCCATGGTCAATCCTGGAAAAGCCTGGCACAAGTAAATGAAGCAGTCACCATCCTTGCCCAGAGCCTTGGTGAACTGCTTGATTAAGCTGAGCTTGATGTGCAGCGGTGGGAAGAGTATTCTGTCTCTGTCCACCAGAGGGTCGTTGATGACGTTCCTTTCTTTGCAAGGCACCAATTCCTCCCGCACAGGCCAGTCCTTCTTCGTGTAATGCTGAGCACGGTCCCTACTATCCCACATGCACAGAAAACATGGGTACTTGGTGAAGCCAGTCTGTTGTCCCAACAAAAAGTTCACTATCTTCAGGTCAACACAAATAAACCACTTATGCTGATCATAACCAATTTTCTCCAGCACATACTTCACCACTTCATAGTTCTCCTTCAGTGTACTCAAGTGAGCCAGGGGTATAGAGGCAAACTGGTTGCCGTTGTATAGCAGAACACATTTCAGTGATCGCTTGCTGCTGTCAATGAACAGTCTCCAATCTTTGGGTTCGTACTGTGGCACTCCAAGCTTGAGCAGAAGCTGCGCAATATCTGCACAGTACACCAAGTCCTTCTCTTCCGAGAAAAAACGGAGGTACTCTTGATGCCTGTTGTGGAAGAAGCTGATGCGAGCACTGTCAGGAGTTTTTTTCCCTTCAATCTGGATGCCAACAGTTCAGCAGAGTCCTTTGACAAGCTGAGGTCACGAACTAGATCATTCAACTCCTTTTGGGAAAATGGATGTGGAGCATCATCTTCAAGAACCACTTCTTCTTCTTCATGTCCTTCAACACTGGAGGCATCTTCGTCACTAATGTCAGGAAGTTCTCTGAAGATAGGCACTGGAATTTCATCACAATGAGCTACAGGACGACGTGCTGATTGAAGATCAGTATACTTGAGGCTGCTCCGGTTCTTTCTGTTGATCCCAGTCACATCAACAGCGCAGAAGTAGCAGTCAGTGACATGGTTTGTCGGCTCCCTCCAAACCATGGGAATTCCAAAGTTCAGACTCCTCTTGCCATTGGTCCACCCACGTAGAGTCTCGGTGCATGCCTTGCACACCATGTGTGGCGCCCAAGCTTTACACTTCGTGGGGCAGTTGCCCCATTAACTTAGTTTTGATCCCCCAACTTTATGCTTTGCCGCACCAATTTAAGGAAGATTTTAGGTTTTATGACTTCAAACTGATCCCTTTTCGACATAATCACCCAGAACTATCGGACCTGAATACTTCTTGTCATTAAAATAATCATTTCCAATCAAAACAATTATTCGACATGGCATTTTACCCCCACCAACTTCTTCTAAAATGCTCCACACAAGTGTACATGTGAACAAAAACATAAAAAAATGACATGTGGTCATACCTCAAAAACTTGACCTGATTGAGCAAAACCAATGTGATTTTTGGATTCAGCGCATCAGATTCGTCCTAAATCAGCTGAAAAAATGCAGACAACAAATTTGTTGTTGACCAACGTTATTAAAACACTTTTAAGACTGCAGTTAAGTGAAAAGAAAGGGTTCTTCTAACAAGTCAGTACCCTTAACAAATGACAGTTCCCAGGAGTTTTTGCTGAGAGCCATGGCTGTTAAGTGATATATCACTGCTTTAAATGTAAGGTGAAGGTGTAGCCAAAGGTGTCACTCCAAAGCAGCTCTTTTCACCCTAAAAAGCCATTGCATGTAATAGTGCAGTGTGACCACGGCCAGGACATCAAAGCATACTGTAGTTCCTTCTCAACACTTTAGCAATTGAGTGTAATAGGCATGCATTCTCTGTTGGCGTGTGACTTGGAATAACAGAGTTTTTCCATATTTGTCTATTGCAAAACAGTTGGGAAGTCCTAGTTTGAGCAAAAGAGAGAGAAAAGAGGAAGCCACCTCAGAAGAAATGTTGGGTTCTTACCATTTTTGAAAATGTGGTAATTTATGTACAAACTGCATCAGTTTCAGTCATTTCCCTTTTGCACTAGAGCTCTACTTACACTCGTTCTCTGACACCTATTTGCAAAGGCTGAGCTCTGCAGGAGGCACAGGATGGCTCTTCTCAACATCACAGACACACACTTGAACAATGCGGTGGCAGAGGTGTCATGGGTGAAGGCCAGCTTGCTTCCAAGCCTCTTCCTCGGGGCTTGCTTCCTGGTTGGCATGCCTGGGAATTGTCTTGTAGTCTGGACAGTTCTTACCAAGTTTCCCCAGCGCTCCTTCACCATTATGCTCATCTTGAACTTGGCCTTGGCTGACTTATTGGTCATGTTGACAGCACCATTCTGGATCTACTATTTTCTCAACAGCTGGGTCTTTGGAGATGTCATGTGCAGACTTCTCCTCTACCTCGTCTACTTAACTGTGTATGCCAGCATCTTCTTCATCACCCTGATGAGCCTGCACCGCTTTGCTGTTGTGGTCTTTCCGTTCACCTCCCAAATGTGGCGGAGGCCACATGTGGTGTGCAGGACTTTGCTGGCAGTTTGGTTGCTGGCAGGTGTCTTTGCATGCCCAACTTTGATATCTGCATCAAGCCTGAACAAGGTTGGAGAGTGTACAGATGAAATATA